CGTCCAGGCAAATTAAATGGCACGTACACACACACACGCATGGGATAAGTAAAATCCGATATCGAAGAATTAGGCAGAGATTGTTGCTCTTTTTAGCATCGTAATCGAGTTTTTAGCAATTTAGTAATTATGTATCTCCGACAGTTGTGTCTCAAGTCAATTCCGAGGAAACGGCGATACTCCAATTAGACCACGCGATGACGAATGCACGAGTCGTTTCCGCCGCTCGTCGCGTATGACAATGAGACATCTCTTCTCGGGATCCTCTTGCCGGATGATCCAAATTGCGCGGCCCATCCGAAATGAATTCACACGTATATGTGCGACTGACGCGAAGGATGCATTGTTAAAACAACCGCGATCGAACGGCATTTACATCCGGTCGAGTCGAAAATGTCAGTGTGGAAATATCACCCGCCGCCATGGGGAAGCTCCGTTCGATAAAATGCCGATAATGCAGTTTTTAAAACGGGGCCTCTCCTCCTCGTCGTCGTCGAGGAGCTTTCTCTCTCTTTCTCTCGTTGGAGGTTCACGCGAGCATGCAGAACCTTTTGAACGGACGCAGCATCCTTGAAACGTAATTCCAGCCGTTCCACTGACATTTTCCGCGGATGTATTTTTACTGTACATTGCGTAATTGCATCTAACCGGCCGACAGATCTTATGCGAAAGGGATGATGACGGTGATGCCGTGCCACCACCAATGGTGGCCGGGGGGGAAGTGCTCGCGCACGTCCACGTGGGCGGGAAAGGGTTAAAGTTGAAATTAGACGGCTTTGACGGCTGAACTTTGCTAATGATCATTCGCACGAGGCAATGTGTGACGTTCTTGGAACCAGGTGTGTTCTCCGCTTAGCAAGGCGTGATATTCCGCTAATGTTGACAGTCGAAATTAGCCCTTAAAGGGTAGCGATCGATGAGAATGTAAGGAGCGCTTTCACGTCACCGTCGCGCCGGTCAAACTGACGTGATTCTCGTCCTCGGTTGAACAACAAGCAGAACGGAGAATTAGACGAGTACGAGCGCGATGTAAGGACGGAGGGATTTGTAGGGATTCATCTCACAGGAACTGCAGACCGTCGCTTCCCATCCTCGTATACGCTCCGCTCAATCTCCTCGAGAGGGATCAAGATCTCGCTGAATTCCTCTCTGCTCCAAGAGAGCAATCGGGAGGGAATCTGCTTTTTACTTAGAAATGAGATACACCGCGCAGCGAATTTCGTTTTACTTCGCATGCAGAACTTGAGTTTGCTACACGAGGAGAGATGGTCAATAATTTCGGGAGGGAACTTGCTTCTTATTTAGGAATGAGATGTACCGCAGCGATAGAACTTCATTCTATCTCGCATTTAGAAGACTCGAGTATTCCACTCCACGAGAGAGAAAGAGAGAGAGAGAGAGAGAGAGAGGGAGAGAGAGAGAGAGAGACGATCGCTGAGGAAGGTAAGTCGATATAAATTTATTCCGCGGAGTTACGAGTCCCAGGTTTTCCGAAATTGGCGCGGTTATTCGTAAATTTGCCAAATTCTTTCCTCCGTGTTCGCAATCCCGCTGAAAACTCGTCGTCGCGAGCGTCCCGAATTTCACGGGTAAGAATCGCGCGTAATTGAAATTGCAACCGGCGACGAAATTCGACGAAATTGCAAGAAATGACTGGATAAAAAGGTCGTGCGTCTCGCTGACGTTTTCTCCCTTTTCTCTCAGCCATTCGGTCACGCGTCGTCGAGTGACGCAGGAACGCTGGAAATTGAAGAAAATGAAGGATAACCCATCGGCCCCGATTCATCATTAAAGGGAAGACCCTCGTCATTGATATTTATCGACAACGACCCCGTATTTATAGCGAAATTGCGGCCACTGAATGTCCCCACGATACCCTATAAACTTTTATTTAAACCGTCTTTTTCTAAAATCGATACTTTGAGCGAAATTAATCTGCCACGCTTTACGGGCCTCACCCTGTAACATGGGCTCGGCCGCTCGCTCGCTCGCTCGCTCGCTCGCAGTTTCTCAACCTTCAAAGGTCTCCGCCGGTGACATATCGAGAGACTATCGCTGAGCGGTATTTCCCATAAATGCTCGGAACCTTTTCCTATCTCCCCCCCCCCCTCCCCGTATAGCTGTGCGCCGTTTTCCACGATCTCGTTTTACGTGCCCCTATAATAAAGACGCAGATAACCGACATATGCGGGGTCTCTCGCGTGCGAGAGAATTTGTCCGCAGATTCGTGCCGGCCGACCGGATATCGAATCGTCCCCGCCGAGGTAAAAGTACCGTCCGTTTTTTTAATACAAGACCTTTGAGTACGACGCGTAAATGCTTACAGATAGCTCCAAAATTTCGCGACACTTTGCCCGCGCGGCAAAAATCCTTCGATCGAATATCGGAATATAACATCTCGCCTTTTTTTGTGAATCGCTCGCGACGAAAGTCTCTTCACGACGATCTTGGCGAATAGATAATAGTGACGTATAATGGTAATTGGGGGTATTATCAAATATTACGGTAACGACATATTTCTTTTTCTTTTTCTTTTTTTTATTTCGAGAAAAAATTACGCGCGAAATAATCGTGCCTCTCCCAGCCCCGGAGATGCCATCTTCGCGCGAATTGATTTGACAGCAGAAGTTTAACTGAAGCTTCGTTTCGTTTCTCTTTCTCTTTTTATTTTACTCGCGAGTTATAAAAAGTTTCTACGACTCGCGAGCGAAACAGAAAGCAAAAAGGAAGGCAGGAGAGAAGCGAAACAAAACTTTCTATTAGAAAATGCCGCGATGCAGGCAACGTGAAATATCCGAGGGAAAAGTCGCGTCGTTTCCTACCTTCGACTACTAAAGACCGAAATTATTGCCCTTGCGACGGATGAAACGTCACGTTGGAAGAGACGACGTTGGAAAAGCGGCGTTCTATGAATGGAGGCGAGCCTCGGATCAGTCGGCAAGCAAGGCCGACTAATTATAGCGTTAGTATCTCTCAACTTCGTTTTGTACATTAACCATGCACCGGCCACATATACACACGCACACACACACGCGCGCGCGCGCGCGTACGCACGCACATACACGCGGGCGCACGCGCGCGAACCCGACCACACGCGTGTACATTATGGAACGTTTAGTGTCGAGATTATGGTCCGACGATGGAGGACATGACCCATTTTGATCGTCGTCGTCGTCGTCGTCGTCATCATCGTCGGTAAGCGCGCGGGGATGCGAATTCAGGACGGCGTACGTGCGTCACGCTTACCCTTGTCCTGCTGTCGACACCTGGCATGTCGTACAACGTCCGCCGACAAATTACGCAGAGGCGAGCTTACGCGCGATTCACGAGCTTTATCGAATAAATAAGTCGGAAACGTGAGGGAGGGAGAGAGAGAGAGAGAGAGGGAGAGACAGAGAAAGAGCGGGACGCCTGTGAGGCACCAAACGCACACGAGACAAAACGAACACGAATCAAGAGTCGAGGGACGATTCTTTATTGTATATTTCACCTCTCAAGATTCTTCAATGTTCCCCACGCATCCGGCTAAATAACGTGCTAATGGAATCTGAGACTGAGTTTTTTTGAAAAGCGCGGGGGGAGGGGTAGGTTGGGATTTTCAGATCGGTGATTCGATGGCATTCGAGATGGTTGTTGTTGAAATGAGCGAGAGGGCTTTGATCGTTCAATCGCGTTTGATGTCGTCTTCCGACGGATTTTGGTTATTCGGATACCGCGTGATATCTCGATTATATGAGAAAAAAATTATTTGACGATGAAAAGTCGGATTTAAGCATCGCTTGAAAGGTACAGCGCTGAAAGCGCGAGCTCTCTACATTGAGAGAGCGGACTGCCGATTTGTCATGCTTTGTTAACGAAATGGACTTAGGAAGGGATCTCGACGCGAAACGTGGTCGTCTTTTAAAATTGAAAGACGCAGAGAGAGAGAGAGAGAGAGAGAGAGAGAGAGATGAAGATATTTTTACATCGCAGACGCGTGTCTCTGTCGCGACGACAGTCTAAGCACGAATTATGCCGCAGTCCGTGGTGTGCAGACTCCGCGCGGGAGCGCTTAAAAAGGCACAATTAAACTAAAAGTGTAACTCACTGGTGACACCGTAAACAGACAAGGTCGCGAGCAAATGTATAAACGCCGAGTGAAAGTGACCGCGTCGCTAATTATCACGATGAAAGAGAGTGGGCGTGTGTACGCGTGAAGGAAATTACATTCATAGCGCGTACTATTGTGGAAGTTGAGAGCAAACGCGCCGACAACGTCCGCCCGGATGCGTCAGCTCCAAGTTTCCGAACAAGCAATTGATAGTAATTTCGGATCTCACGGGCGTACATCTTTCCGCCGAATTAAAACGGCATATCCCATTCAACTCGTTGACGCGCGATCCAGTTTCCTTCCGATGTTGCTCAGTTCGATGTATGCTCTGTTCAGTCCGTTTAATCTAAAATAATGACACATATATGCGCGCGCGCAATTTGTCGAATGGTAATTGAGATTTCATGTTCGCGAGATTCGACGAGGCTGATACAGAGGATGTTTCGATAGTCGCATATGTAGTTAGTTAAATCGATTCAACGATTGTTATTTCATCTTTTTGCTTGCAATTTATCATTGTTTTATTATTTGCGCACTTGATATCGAAGGTGTATCAGCGGCGGATTGATTGCGCGCAGTCAATTGCGGGCGAAGCTACGTCTCAGACACGCGTGATCTCGCAAGATCACACTGTTGTGTGATGATAATACACAGACTCTAAAGTCGGAAATAATACGAATGTGAGGCGATTATTGTTGGTTGTTGACTGTGAGCATGACAGAGCAAGCACTTTCCTCGTACAATTTCTATAGACACGTATCGCGTGTGAGATTCGTTGTATTTCTACAGATTATATTTCTTGAAATCTCTCGCTCACGATGTACGAAGAATCCATAGAGGAAACTTGTGCAACGTAGGCATCCGATAGATTATGTGTACTTTATTTTTCTTTCCTTTCTACATCATATTATTTTTTTTCTCTCCACACTATATCGTGCTGGGTAACCTTGTGTTGTATGAGATATTTCTGTGTACATTAACGTCTTCACATAAACATGACGTATACACTACGTGCGTACGCAGCAAAAAATAGATAAACGTAATTGCACAAGTACAGATTGTTATAATTGGCGAGATTAATTATAGTGCGAATAAAATGCAAAACAGAAAGAAACAGTAAATTCTTCATGAGAATCACAATTGTTTACGTGAAACTGATAAATTTGCCCCTCATTGTGAGTGTGATTTCGACAGACTTTGTCGAGACGAGACAAGACGAGACACTTACTAATATCAACTTCAAGTTACTTAGGCAATGCGGAATTATATATCACCCGTATTGTTTTATTGAAAATATAATCTCAAATTATTTGACGTATGTATATACGTATATAATATATAATGTATAAGAAAAGAATTTCCATATCTTTAGTGTATTGAACAACTACTCAATGCTACCGCTAATTTACTTCAAGTCAAAACGTTATAGACCATTATACTCGTAAAAAAACGTGATATAAAGAAGAAACTGCTTAGAAGTATTTTTCGAGGGAGCCTTTCAGCTTGTGCGGATCTACGTTAGGGCCGTGCCGTTCGACGACCTTGCCATCTTTGTCCACGATGAACTTGGTGAAGTTCCATTTTATGAAGTTGCCCAGTAAACCGCCTTGCTCCTTCTTCAAATATGACCAGAGCGGATGCGTTTTATCCCCGTTTACGTCTATCTTCTCGAACAGGTCGAACTTCACCTGCGAGAGATGTGGTAAATGTGTGCGTTACAAACTTATTTCACTTCCAGAGGAAAAAGAACGATAATATATGTGAGAAGAAATTCACTTTGTGGCGATCAGCGAAACTGCAAATCTCTTCGCTGTCTCCCGGCTCTTGTCCGTTAAACTGGTTGCAGGGGAACGCCAAGATTCGCAATCCTGTAGAATAACAGAGTTTAAATGCCGGATCGTTCCGTTGCTCAAACAACTCAACGACGAATTTCGCGTCGCACGAATATTAACCTTTAGATTCGGCGTACTCGTCGTACAGCTCGTTCAGCTCTTTGTAATTGGTCGCTGTAAGACCGCACTTCGAAGCGACGTTCACGATCAAGCACACGTGCCCTTTGTACCTGACCGACCCGGTAACAGACGTCGTTAACAGACATTTTTGTGACAGGCGCGACACATTCGCGATACGACACGGGTTTATACTCACTTGGACAAAGGGACTTCCTCTCCCCTGATGGAGTTGGCCGTAAAGTCGTAGATCGACGTGGCCGATTTGTAATCCTTGTTTCCGCTCATTGCCGCTGCAACTGTGCGATTGCAATCGTTAATATTTCGTCGAGAGATACGCCGCGTCGCGGCTGGGAGAGGTAATTAATTTGACGAGTCGCGAATGTCAATTCGATTAGCGTCTTTTAGCAGTGAATTCGCGAATAGAGTGTCGTGCAAGGACATTTACTTCGCGATATGCCGTTAATTCGTTTTCTACGTCTCTACGTTAATAATCGCGATGCAAAAGAGAACATACGGGGAACGTTCAAGGGAGAAAAAAAGAAAATAGCGGACGATCCCCAAGCGCGCCTATCGTTGCGATATCAAACATGGAACAACATTTCCGATTTATGATTTATGCTTATTGCGAGAGTCGTGTGTTAATGTATCATGCATGACCATCGCCTTCGAAACGAGCGGCAGTTCAATTTTTCATGCGGGAACTGATTAAACGTCGCGTGTAAGTGACGCCCAGTGCGATCCTTGGAACATGGAATAGCACGAAGCGTCGAATAATGCAAGCAAAATTATCGCAACGTCGTTGTGCACGAGCGGTGATGAAGGATGCCGACTGCGAGCAAGACGGCATCCGGAAAATTCTTCCTCAACGATCGCCGCGATGCCGCGATCGCTTGATCGCTCTTATTGCGAGAGCGAAACTATTTTCGCGTCGCGCGTTAATTGCTAATTCACAGACGTGAATTCGCGTCCTTCTTACACGGGCGAGTAATAATTCGCGCTTCGTTTCGATGGCGATCGGTAGCTTAACATTCATCGCTGACGGGAGTGACGGGGCGGGAGATATTTTGCGACGATCACCAAATTACGTGCCTGCGAAATTTCGGACTACGTGTGCAAGGCCGATGGGTAGGATGAATCTTAAAACGAGCATTTCCGGCGTAGCGCGAATCCGCTCCTGGAACTGTCGATGCAAGAAGTCGGTGCTATAGTATGATTTGTGAAACTACGGAAACATGAAGAATTCAGGAGACACGCCAGCCAGAGCTGGTCGCTTCTTTTTTCCTTCACAGATGTGTCACCAGCATTCGTGTCATTTATACATAGAGCGTACATGAGTCGTTACATTTTGTTATCACAGCTCGCGATAATAATTTAGCGATTAGATAGCCTATCGTGTGTGGGCTTCCGAACGGCATGAAATATTCAGTTTTCCCGAAACATGTAGAAGAAGATTACAATTGTCACAGTATCAAGATGACCGATTGTCGCGAGATCGGCGGAACTGATAGAAATCAAGGAGGCGATCGTGAGTCCTTTTGTTCTAGCGAGAATTTGCGGGAAAAAGCGAAAAGTTGCTTTTCGCCTTTCGGTTAGCGAATTTCCGCTCTTCGCGAATTCGCGCTAGAGAAGAAGACTCACGATCGACTGCCAAGTTTTCTTAAACTTAAACGCGATTATAAACCGGAAGCGTTTGATTGCAACGCCAGCGGAAATAGAGATTTATTTCGGGTGTCAAATTTCAAAATTAAAATTCGTCGTTAAAGTTAAGTTTCGAGTTTAAAATGTTAGAGTTAGTTACGATGAGAGAGAATACGATTTGTCAGGGGAGTCACTTTGGAGACGCATAAGCAAATCGTAGAACGGCGAGACCACCGTGGATGGACGACGCGCGGCGGAATTGTCAATGAAACATCATGACTGGCGAATTCGGTGTCGAGTGTTATCGGATCTGCGCAAATCGATGAGTGTCGTGCAAATAAAAAGTTTCTAAGGTCAACCGCAAACGGCATGTAGCGCCATGAAATTTATATTTTAAACGGAAGGAAGAGCAAAAACGAACACAAATTTTTCTTTTTTTTTTTTTCATATTTTTTTCCATACGTCAATCCTGAACCTTGCTTTCAGAAGTTATTTTATCCTCACCAATTTCGTCCTAGTGCGAGCGAATATGAATTAATTTATTTTCGTTTTTAACGATGATCCATGACCGGACACATACATTCTTAATCGCCATACTTTCCTCGTGGAAACGTTGCGATTTGCACGCGGGACTCCGCGCGTACAATCACTTACGAGTGATCTTTTCCGCCGGACGCTACGTACGCTCGATATCTGTTAATTAAAGCAGCTCTCTCAATGAACGCTGGAATATACTGTGCGAGTACGCCGACGTCGCGCATTGCGCGAACTCCGCAATCGATAGCCATCTACCGTGCGCCGGTCTAACCTTTGGAGATCAGACCGGCGCGCCGATCAGTCGGTGAAATATCCGCTTCGTGAGATCGATGTCGCAAAGTACTGCGGAATATCCGAAGCGTATCTTGGAACATCTTTCGTCGTCGTGTCGCAGAACATCCGTTCGCGTTGGATCGTTCGTTCTACTTTACACGTGTTTCGCGTGTTACCGGCGGAACAGAAAAAGAGATCTTACCCTGTTGAAGACTGTGTTGACGACGAAGACGCACCGCAAGAACCTCGATATAAACGTCGACACTTGGTCGCTGCTTCGTACTAACTAGTCATGTCACATAATGGTCTTCAACGCGCATGTGCAGTAACTCCGTGGCTACTGATGCGCTGCCATGAGAAATCCTGCCGGGAGCCTTCGTGCGCATGCGTGAGCTAACGTATAGCTGGACAGCTGCTTCCAGGGCCGGATGTTTCAGTTTCTTAACCCTTTAACGCCCGACTTTTTTTTATAAGTGTTTTAAGAATAAAATTTGAGTTTTTTTGGACTGAGACTATAAGTGGTGATAACCAAAAAAAAAATATCAGAATTTTATATTGGTTCTTCTTTTATCGTTCGTTTTCTGTTTATTGGTAAATATGACTTGGATCCTAAAAGCATATACGAAATGAGCTACTTATACAGAGAAAAACGAAGGATATCTACACGACATAACTCTCTGATAGTCAGCTTGACATTTTTGAGCTGCAACTTTACTGTATTTGTGAGTGAAGTTCATCATTCAGAGCGTCAAGCTTACTATTTCAGAAGAATATCTTATAGATCACCATTTAGATAGTCAATCGTCCCGTTATTTTTCGCCGCATAAAAAGCTGTAATTTCGTGTCCACCATATTGGATTCGACCCATTTTGAATTTCTGTATTCTTTTAATTTCACATTTTGCATCTGAGAAAGCTTCCAAATGTATAAAATTATAACAGATATCAATCTATTCATTTATAATGCACTTCTAGATATCAGTAACAATGCTAACTATGCCTATTTGGAATTTGACAAAACATGTTATCATTAAAACTGAGTTAAAAACAGACTAAACCGAATCTACATACAATCTATATACTATTTTTTAGAAGAAAAATCCACCTTTACACTGCAGGTATAAAGAAAACGAAAATACCTCCTTTTTTGACTAAGTTATGGATTCTTAAATGCGTTTGTGGTAACTATAGTTATCAGTAGGCGTTAAAGGTTGAGTTAACTGATAAGTTAAATCATAGTGTTTATCTTTCTTTTTCCTTTAATTTAAACGAAGACAGACATATATGATTTAACTACCACTAATTCACTTACCAAGGAGTTGGAACAACCTGCCCTTAGGGCTCTCTTGCAGTTTTTTCCGCGTCTTTTTCTTTCTTCCACGAAGAAAGATAACGCGTATAGTGTTATATTTTGAAGTGCATTATATTGTCTGTCATATTAACATACAATATAATAAAGTAAAATAAAGGCAATTTTATTTCCCCTGATTACGCATCACTGCTTCGTGTTTGTCGTGGCGCTCCAATAGCGGATCGAATAGTTTCGAGGTTTCAGGCGCAATATAATTGGAAAAGTGGCTGCTATGAAAATATACATGAAAATTTCCCACAACTTGTCGCTTTAATTTTCACAAAAGAACATTATTAACGTTGTTCACGGTTCTATCCAACGGTGATTGATTATGCGGTTGGTTATTGGCGAAGGCAGAAAGAAAGCGATGAAATTGAAGAATATTGTTATACTTGAATATTCACATGATCTCCATTGGTTATTAATTATTTATTAACATACACATGCGTAAAAATATATGATATGATATGACACACAAAGATTGTGTTTAAAATGAAATGAAATATTCAATCGAATTTCACATACATAATCTTTACATCGGATGAATTAGAATTGTTTTTGAAAAATTTTTAAGGATTCTCAATGTGCACATTCAGACATGATTTCTAATGAAGACCTTTCGACATCACACACAAGTAGCAATCTTTGATTTCCTAATGATTTCTTTTTCAGTACGTTGGTACCATGGAAGGTGTTCAGACAAGAGTTGAATCAAGTACATCCGATCAGTTCAGGACTACAGGCGATGGCACTGAAATCCACGATAGATCTGACGTGCAATGACTACATCTCCAACTTCGAATTCGATGTATTTACGAGGTAAATGTGCAGACGCAATTTTTCTACTCGCCGCTATGTGTAATATGCACCGAGTGCGTCGTTGTCGGTCAAAAAATATCGAGACAATAACGTGTCACAATGTGCGTTCTAATAATATCTCCTGATTTCACAAGATTGTTTCAACCATGGTCGACCCTCTTGCGTAACTGGAAAATACTGGCTGTGACACATCCTGGCTACGTGGCTTTCCTCACGTACGACGAGGTGAAGGCGCGCTTACAAAAATATTGTATTACCAAGCCCGGGAGTTACGTATTTCGATTAAGCTGCACGAGGCTGGGACAATGGGCAATTGGCTACGTCACGTCTGACGGTGATATTCTCCAAACGATACCGCATAACAAGAGTCTATGTCAAGCGTTATTGGACGGTTACCGGGAAGGCTTGTGAGTATATCTTCGATAAGAACACGTTAAGGCCAATTTACCCGGGCACTAACTTATTAGTCCTCTTGCCCACCACACGTTGTGTATTCACTTGGTACACGTGTACGAAGATACACACGATAGAATTTGATTTGCAGCTACTTATACCCGGACGGCAGGAATATAAATCCAGACTTGACATGGGCAGTGCAACCGACGCCGGAGGAGCACATAAAAGTGACAGCGGAGCAATACGAATTATACTGCGAAATGGGTAGCACATTCCAGCTGTGTAAAATCTGCGCCGAGCACGACAAGGACGTGAGGATAGAACCTTGCGGTCACCTCCTCTGCACTCCATGTCTCACAGCTTGGCAGGTAGCAGTACATAATCTTGTGTTAACATTTCGTATTTACGCTTGTAATTTACGTTCTCATTCAGAGCGCGATCAATTCTTGGACAAACCTTCGTACAATGATACCAGTCGAGCTCAATGCTCGACCTGTAATGTTCATCATATTTTACGTACGATATACGCGCGCGCAAGCGACATCGCATTAGTCTAATGTTAACGTACGTATGATCTGTCTGCTTTGCAGGATTCCGAAGGACAGGGTTGTCCATTTTGTCGAGCTGAGATTAAAGGCACCGAGCAAATCGTCGTGGATCCGTTTGATCCGCGAAGAACGCATAGACCCGGAGCGCATTCGGCGTCCGCTAGTAACGCATCAACCCCCACGCGGGATCTCGACCCTGACACCGAGGTATCCGACTAGGAATAGCCATCCACCTTCATTATTAAATGTGTTCTATGTATAACAACATCCCCGCAGTATGCCTCATTCTCAAGAATGCCTCATACATTTCACATGAGATCTCGCGTTTTGTTGTACGGTCGTATATACATGTCACGTCATTTTCATAGGTCTACCGTCTCGATTGTGCCACACCTCGTGGCGGGTATACGCGGTAGTCTTCTTCGTTTTATATATACATATATATATATATATATATATATGTATGTATATATAGAGACATCTTTCTTAGGCAATATATCGAAAGAGCTACTTACGTTGATCGATCAGTTCCGAGAATTATCCTCGGGGAAGTGTAAACAAAAAGAAAAGGGACCAAATTGCACAGGGAGACGTGGACTATATAAATGATTCTCTGCCGAGTTCGTTGTCTCTTTCCGTTTATGTTCCGTTTGCAAAAAGTCAGACGTAGCATGCCGATGGATTAATGATTATTCGACCGTCAACCGATCGATCAGCCATATCTACCGCGCATTTATCTTTTTTTTTTTCAACTAACACAAGTTTGAGAGATTGTTAATATCGCTTAATTACAAATTTCATCGATAATACAAAGGCTGCCAAGGTAAGACTCGCTTCTCTTGCATTTCATTAGAAGCTAAGTCGGTGACTTAATTGTATGGCCGATGGTCGCTGAGTCATTATGACCACGTATAAGCAGTCATGTAGCCTTCAATCAGTTTTGTCATTTTTTTTTTCTTTTCCGTTGAACTCTGACGTGTTAATCTGTCAGCTGAAAAATGTATCAGGCGGTATCATCAATCGGATCAAGGGAACATTATCGATTTATTCGTAAACAAAAAAAGGGTTCAGTATGTTCACTCACTGACGTCGCGACAGTATCAGTTTTCTCTTTCGGCTCATAAATCTCATAATGCATGTGCATATGCGTATTTAAAAGCGTTACTTTTTATTTTTATTTCTTTTTCTAAGTATGTGCATATACAAAAGACTTTCGATGCCTGAAGATTATTAGACATATTTATTTATGCAAATGATTATATATAATTTATAGTCAATGACATGAAATAGCGTGGCTTGTGTTCAAAACTAATCAATGCGAAGCACACGAGGAAAGAGCGCTCTGCAACTCCAAACGAAAAATTTCGGTCATATATTATAACGCACTGTTGAGACCGCATTCATAATTTTTACTTGCTCGATAGGTCGCAGAACGCGAACAGAAGTAAGATTTGGATAGAGCTGAGAGTATTTTTCGATTATCGGAATTTGCAATCTAAATGCATTATTTAGAACATACCTGTAGCTGCGGACGTCGACATCGTCCTTAACGTTACGGTTTACCTTGAATTGCATATATTCGTATCGTTCCTTATACTATTATTTAACGACAAGACTCACTTGGGACATTCGCTATCACACTTGCATTTCCAGACTTTACTGTGATAACGAATGACGATTTTATCGTGAAATAATATGTTATAATCTGTATATCGAAATCGAGAAGGAAGGGAGAGACTTTATATCAAACCGTTCTATACAATTAAGAATCTAAAAGTAGCTTTAAGCATTCACCACGATACAAGAGACGAGGAAGAGAGAGGGAGGAAAGAGAAACAGAGGGAAAACATGCGATGATCAAGTAAAGTAGCATGCACTTTAGCACTTAGCGTATAATCGAAAAGACCGTTCGCGCAATCATTATGTATCCCGTTGGAATGTATTGTGTACCTGCTGGCGGTAGGCACGAATGTGTAACTTCATGTTAATGTCACATCATTGACACGGGAACGTCGTTGTCGTTGGCGACATCGTTTTTCCTGCACACACTCCTACGTTAAAATATTAATTTATTATTTATTCCGTATTTTTCGTGTCGGGAGGAAAAAGGAAACGTGGTTTTCGACAGAGGATTTTGACAGCATACACACGCATACACAGACACACACTCACACACACACACACACACACACACACACACACACACACACACACACACACATACAAACACATACGCACGCACACCTTGCGCTGAGTCTTAATACTGTGGTATTCTACGTACGTTTTAATATGCAAGAAACATCTGTGTAAAATTTTGTACGCATAATGCATGCACGTGCAACTAAACTTAATGCGGTGTAAGCAACGATTGATCAATTTCTTAGCACAATTATTGGCGTATCGTCGATCTACTTAATTTAGTCCTCGTAAGCTTCACCGACATATTTCGAATTTCGTAACTCGTTCCGAAGGCGCCCCGTTTATATATATATATATATGTATATAATATATATATATGTATATAATATATATATATATATACACTGCAATCAGTGAGAAACGAGATGAGGAACACGCTCGAGTGTGCCCGCGACACAGTGTTCCGCGCGTTTTTTTCAGCTGTTTGCGCAACACGCACGCTCGACGTATTAACGACGACAAATCGGCGCTTCGCTAACCGGAACGGAGCTTCTTCTTATATCACGTACGTGCGCCGCGTCGAACGGAAGGAATTTCACAACGCGAACGTAATTCCAGCGTACGTCTGCCGCGCGAATATTAGCATATTATTCATTGTAAAATACTAGGGACTTGAGAGAGTAATACTTTTTTTTTTTTTTAATAAAATTGTATTATCATTACACTCTGGGAGTTACGCTCATGTGTGTATACAATACCCCTCTTGCTGGATTCTAGCTTTGCTCTACGATTCCGCATCAGTTGCTCCAGCAACAGGGAAACTCGAAACGAGAGAGAGAGAGAGAGAGAAAGAGAGAGAGAGAGAGAGAGAGAGAGAGAGAGAGGGAGAGGGAGAGAGAGAGAGAGGGAGGGAGAGAGAGGGAGAGAACCAAGGTGTTACCTCATTATATCGTTCGCATGATCGTTTACTTTTATTTCATAACGTTATCCACGCACTATGGGGCCACATTACTCTACCCGCTGCATGATCCAAACTAATCGGTAATGTACATATCCGATTGAAGGATGGTATAAACCGCGTATAAGCACCAGTAAGTGCAGGTAAGTGACAACATGCATTATGACCATCCGCTTTTACGCTTTGTAATTACGCTCATATTAATTAACTGACGTTACTCGCACTCGATTCGATTCGATCAGCGATTTATATTATGGACGAAGGACGACGAAAGACACTCGACCGACCTTCTCGTTTCGCTTGAGTTTCTCTCGCTCATTCTTTATCAGAGCGTAGCGATGGCATTCCCGAGAAGAATACCCCGAGTTACTTTCCGATCACTCGGCAGATCTATTGATTGCGTTGAATACGTGCGACAAACGTGAAAGATCCCTCATTGCGTCTTTGTGTTTTCTTCATCAAAACGAGATACAGAGAAATGTCAAACGGCATACAAGTGACACGCAAAACATCTGTACAAAGTATAGTTTAACGCTACGCTTGGAAGGGCAGCAGACGATTCATCGCTTTATTCGCTTCGAGGAACTCTTCAGGAAGCGTTTAACCATTCGGGAGGGTCCGTCTCTCTCGCGGAGGACAGTCTCGCGCGTAATCTCTCTTCGAGTATATAAAATAGGTGGTATAGTTATCATTTTCCTTTTTTTCTTTTTTTTTTTTTTTTCCATGGAATCCGTGTAACATCGTGATCGTCATGCTTGTCTCGCCCTCTCACACTTTTCGATAAACAACCCCTTCGCTCTGAATTGACGATTGATTTAACAATTGCTGGAAGAATCGACGCTTTGTGAATGAGATGCGGTAACGTGAGGTGGTTTAAGATCGGCATTAGGAGTGACTCCGGCGCGGTGAAGAAAGGACCTTGAGAAAGAGCATCTGATAGAGTGCTCATGAGGGTGCTCTGCTGAAATATTCCTTCCTTCTCCGCTCGCACGATCTTATCTTGCGATACAGGGTAAACCACATAACTCGAACGCCCATTCGGTGATCGCTGTTAACAATGAGCTGATCCTAAACATCTTGTATAAATATGTAACTCGATTACGACCAGGTGAGACTACTCTTTGCACAGCAAATTTGTAGATCGCATTCACCGGCGAGGAACGGGAGTAGAATTAGGACCGTCGAGTTATATGATTTTGTCATCCTGTATGTACGGATATTTATATTGTCTAACACTTTGCAACGCGTACGTACGATCGAACAGACGTGAGTACCATCTTGTTGTATGCCGAGACACAGCGTTAACCCGTGCCCTTCTTCCTGCCGAATGTTGTAGGACATAATGGCGCTGTGCAACGGCAACTGCGGTCTCATATGCGACGACTCGGACGAGGAAGACGACTCTAGTCCCACGAATTCGCCGGTCCCACCGCGGAGGATCCTGCCGAGTCCGCCGTTGCCACCTCGAAGAACCTCACCTACACCGAATAATCATCTTAAGAACGGCCGTCACCTGACAGTGCCGAAGGAGAACGCCCCGCCGCCGCCAACGGTCACCGCGGTAATAATGAATTACGCCGACACGCCGCAGAATAACAAAGGTAATCAAAGGTCTAATCATCCATTCCAGAAAGCAATTCACTCGAGCTTGCTCCTCGTGACGAGTGACTGCGCTCCCTGTGTGATATTGCTATAAATTATATTCGAAGCTCAGATTTCTCCAGGTGTTACATTCAAAGAATGAATATTCAAACATTCAAATATATCAAGTACATTGATACTAACTGTACAGAATCTTGTTGCATTAAGCTCGAATTGGAATTGGAAAGTTCAAAGTCAAATTATTCGAGGCTTTGAATGCATCAAAGGTCTGTCCTTCCCGCTCCTTGGTAAATTAACTGATAGTTAAATCATATATGTGTCTTCGTTTAAGCCTTTAACATAAAACTGTTAAACTGCTGTTAAACTGGTAACTATAGTTACCAGAAACGCACTTAAGAATCCACAACTTAGTCAAAAAGGGAGATATTTTCGTTTTCTTTGCACCTGCACTAAGGTAAAGGTGAATTCTTCTTCTAAAAAATGGCATATAGATTGTATGTAGATTCCTGGTGAAGTATGTAGAAACCTGGTGACCTACAGTTTTTTATGCGGCGAAAAATGAAGGGACGATTGACTATCTAAATGGCGATCTATAAGATATTCTTCTGAAATGGTAAGCTTGACCCTCTGAATGATGAACTTCACTCACAAATATAGTAAAGTTTCAGCTCAAAAATGTCAAGCTGACTATCAGAGAGTTATGTCGTATAGATTACCCTTCATTTTTCTCTGTATAGGTTGCTCATTTCGTATATGCTTTTAGGATCCAAGTCATATTTACCAATAAACAAAAAACGAATGATAAAAAAAAACCAATATAAAATTCTGATATTTTTTTGTTTGGTTATCACTACTTATAGTCTCAGTTGAAAAGAAATCAAATTTTATTCTTAAAACACTTATTATAAAACGGTCGGGCGTTAAAGGGTTGAATTGAAGGAAGAACAAAGAGAAACATGTGACTTAACTATCAGTTAACTTAGCAAGAAGCTGGAAGAACCGGCCCCAAATGTTGCTATCTCTCTGTTCCGCTTCGACAGTGTCTTTGTCGATCCACAGTGAACGCGGAGGCGAGGTACGACATGCTGCATCGCGCGTCTTCTCCATCGCCGGTGGTACCGCCGATACCGCCCGCGCCGTCGGCAGCAGTGAGAGCTCACGCTCGTCGTTCCCACGGGAACCACACGAACACGTCGCAGCCGCCGCAACCGCAGCCGCAGCCGCAGCCGCCGACGTTGCCGGAGAAGCCGAGTCGCGCTGCTGCGACCAGCTCGTCGACGCCAGGGAACCAGACGGGCACGAGCAACAACGTGCCACCGGTGCCGCCGCCCTTGTCGGCACCACGACCACCGAAGGCCGGCAAGGAGAGTGCCCGACAAGATCACCATTACGAGAACACGATCGTGATCCCCGGCACGAGACAGCACGTCGTGAAGAACATCAACCTGGAGGCGAACAGAGCGCGTTTGACGGCTCTGATGAGGGGCAGAGGCGACACGGTGAGCGGATCGGTGACCAAGCCGGAGCCCGCAGCGTATGAGAACGTGAACGTTGAGCACATCACGAGACTGACGGCGCTCGGATTCACGCAGGACGCCGTGATCAGGGCGCTCGGTATCACTAGGAACGACCTCGAGATGGCTTGCGACATACTGCACGAATTCGCCACGAAATCCTCCTGACCAGGTACTAAGGGAATCGCAACGATTAGACCGACGAGTCTGTCAGAAGATCATTGAACACGTTGACTGCGCTACGGTGGTCACCAGTGACCGGCGCTACGATGATGACACCGCGTTTCGAAGTTAATTAGATAGTACGGCCACGGTAGGGAGCCAAAGGAAGAAGCTGACGGAGCGAGTTGCATTGTGACGTCGCATCTTTGCCGATTCGAATTTGAGTCGAGCGTTGGGATATAATCAATGGAAATCAGCGTGGCGGTCAACGTGTTGAAACACATGCGCGATACGTTGTTATGAGTTTCTCGTTATACTTATGTATATATACGATAAAATCTGCCGCAGGGCCAAATGCCGAGGTCTCATGACCGGCCTTACCTGCCAGACGGTACTTTTGACAGGGAACACGCGCGGAATCCTGCAAGTCCCACCTCTAATGCGTTCACAGATACATCGCGCGTCCTCGCGGAGCGTCTCACCACGTCAGTGCAGTACCGGAGACTCGACAGTGCCCGACAGTTTTGAATTTTGATTTTTGAGAGACATTGACGAGCGGGGGAGGTGGCATCGCGGCGATTCCACTTGCGGGCGGTGAGCCTACGGAGATGCTAACGAAGGAGAGTCAGGAGAGAGTGTGCAGAACGCACGCTTCCAACGAGAGAGAAGAAGAATCTTTGGAGTAAGTTCCGGGAAAATATCCATCGGACAGACACACACGTACACACTAACCAACAAACACACCATCGACCTCGTCGTATAGATTTCGCGTAGATATTTCTCTCTCAGGATGTAGCGCGAGTCTGCGGGGCGAATTGTAAAGGAAAAATTCCAAGTATTCTCGTTTCTTGATACGTACAAAGAAGACTGGCCGTTCCGTTGCGACGTGTATGCGAGTAACACGAGTGACAGTGTTGAGTAAAGAAAAGGCGACGACCGACCAAAGGTGATTTTACGGCTGCCGAAGTATTCCTCCGCGAGCTATATATAGCGACTAGTAGTAAGCCCTATACTTTTTTTTTGTCTTTAGTACCTCTCTCGCTTTAATTACTACATTTCGTTCCTCAATATACTTAAGATAAGGCGCGTTTACAAGAAGAATTTGCTTGTACGTCTACGAAACACAATGATGCGGAGAGAGGAAGAGAAAGAGAGGCAGAGAGAGAGAGAGAGAGGGGGGGGGAGGAAGGAAGAGAGGAAGGGAGAAAGCGAAAGAGGCGAAAATGAAGAAAGAGATGGAGTATAATGAAAAGACGTGTGTATACGCTACGCGCACAAATTTAAGATGCAGCGGAAGAAAAAGCGCTCTTTGAAAGTCTTCGGCCATCTAATTTTCCATATTTTATATTTTATAGCGTACCTCACACGACACACAACGAGCGCGCGCGATTCCCACGCCGACGCGTCTAGAAATGACGACATCGTAATCCGCAAAGGCAATACAATATCTTACCCGAGTCGACATTCGTATCGCGAATAAGTATACACATCTGTTCAATAAGATATACTCTACGTAGGCATCGCGTCAGAGATTCGTTAGACACTGCGTTTACGGACATAATAAATATATATGACGTTATATAGTACCGCGAGACCGAAAGTACGTAGACGAAAAATGCCTGGCATCTAATTTTGTAATTTCCAGTTCTACAACTTGTTCTCTCACGTTAAATAGAATAGTCATATACGGGGTGGCCTATTTTAATTCATCCACTCGAATATTTTTAAAAGTGAGACCGGCAGGCAAAAATGTTTTGCACAAAAGTTACATGGTTTTACGAGGAACATAAGACGGTGGCGATAATTTGACCTTGGATAGTCACTTGAAGATGACGTGAAAATTACCTTCAATTTCTTAAACCCTTATTTTTCATTGCATATATTTGTGGCTTACGTCGAGAGCTTTCGGAAACGCCAGTCAACGCACAGTGAAGAATACGAGATTCCGTTTAAGAAATTAAAGGTGACCTTCATGTCACTTTCCGAGGTTAAATTATCGTCATTGTCTTATATTCTCCTCAAAACCATGCAATTTTGGTCTGAAATATTTTTGTCTGCCGGTTTCAGTTTTCAAAATATTCGGCTGGATGGATTTTTTTTAAAAGAGGCCGCTCTGTATATAGACACACACACACACACGCACGCGCACACACACACACACACATATGTGTATGTATGTATAGCTATTTAATGTATATTACGTAACGTCCTCCACATTAGTACTAGCGTAATTACATTGCGCGAATATACCTCGGAAAGGATAAAAGTAACACGATAACGATTCAGATTGTATAAAATTGTTATGCTTTACACTCATGATTTCCGATCTTAGTTTCGAGAGACCACCCGAGCCGAGACACGAGGTCAGCCTTCAGAGCATGTACAATTGCGATACTGATACAACTGATATCACTTGAACACAAGTACACGTCTTGGTTCGCACGTAGGGTTGCCAGATGTGAAATGACTATTTCCGGGACATTTTTTAGGTGACGGTTGAAAAATAGGTTGTTAGAGAATTTTAGTTAAATTTGAGAGATAGAGGGGCAAGACGGCTATGGGATGCCGCTGTGCACTCGCAACAAACAAATGCATAAATTCCGTGCCAGCAGAGAGAAGTTTGGACATAAATCGTGCGATTGTATTTTTTACCACGCGAATGGCTTAGTTGACATCAATTTTCTTAGGTGGCACATCGAAAAATTCGACCCTATAAATCGCGGTCATAAACCGCTCTCAGGTTTCTCTCTGGTACCAATTAGAAACATGAATGTTATGATTATGATTTTGTTGAAATTCTGATTTTCCGGGACAAGCTTAAGAATTCCGGGACAATCCCGGAAATACGCAGACACGATCAACGACTATGATCAACTTGAAGTCGGTTTCTCGCCGAAACATCAAAGAAAGGAACGTAGACACGCTATAACTACGATCGGCTGGTCGATATTTCGACGAACATTAAAGAAACGTAATACGTGATACGGATACAATGAGTGTAGACGTGACTTATCCTGTCCAGATCCTGCATCGATTTGCCAACATGGGATCTCTCGTTTTATTCAGTCGTATCACTTCGTATCTGGCAGTCATGGCTGATGCTATGGAATGATCACAAGAGAAAGTGATAGAATAGATTTTTATAAACAAAACAGTACGTTTTGGAATCCAGCGGATCCCCATCATTTTAATAGATTGAAAAGAAATGATGCACGGAAGGAAGTTGCACGTGACACCGGAAGATCAGCTGAGCAGTGCAGAAAGAAGATAGAATATCTTCATCATCATTATCGCCATAATTATCGCTACAAGTATTTTCGGTTGATAGATGTTTCCGCCCCGCAGCGGAGCACCCACCCAACAATACCGAATCCAAGTCGATCATAGTCGTATCGTTCCTGCGTATCATCTTGATACGCAGATGCGATACAGTGTCTCGTCCACACACTTGGCCGATTACGATACGGTGATACGACACGAGTCTGCACCTACTTTTACAGACTAGCTGAGTGTATCTACCGAATGTGTTACTTAGATTCGTGCGTGTGAACACGCGGCTCTCATATCGCGTTGCGCCGATCAGAGAAGTGAACGATTCTGTAGCGTCGGTGATACTTCAAAGTGTATGTACGCGCCGATTGCGATTTCAGGTTCGCAGATGAATTCAAGGGAGGAAACTGCGATCGAGTTTCGTATTAACACTTGGAGAGATACCGAGGACACGAGTTGACGTTCGTGTGCGAGTAACGTTTGCGGCCAGCGGTTGCGAGTGTTAACGATAAATAGCCACGGAGAGAATCAAATCGAGAAGCTAGAACGGTATCGAGTAAATAGCGCGCAAAAGAGTCCGAGCGCGAAGACGATAACGGGAAACGTATTTGCGCGCAAGTTCGTTGAGACGTTGCAATCGCCGCTGCTGAGTCGACAGTAGCGCCGTCGAGATACGCTGTACATGTTACGCTTTACGTTAATTTATGCCTCGTAGATGCTCAAACGCGTGAGGAAAAAGGAAAAGAAAGAAACGAAGGAAGGCTATGACCTGGCGAGTTAGACGGCAACATGCGTGTTCTCGTGACGTTCGACGATGATCAAAGGTGGCCACGGTTCTCTCGCGTGCCACGCTCACGAAGTATGTGTCGTTCGTCATAGTGATAAGGCGATTAGCGTGCGAGCGCGGATCGATTCCGACAAGACCGTGCACATTTTGCGCGTGATACCTGTTGCGCCGGTCGCACGAATTAATTACCTACCTCGCGATTATACCAAAGGTTACGATGTGATTGTCCGATAAACGCATTGCGAGATAACGTTATCCGATGTCACATTCGTTAGCGACGTTTTAACCCCCTTTCATCACGTTGTAACATACGCGGGCACGGGCGAAGAAACATACATACATCTAAACGTACTATGTATATACAGGGTGTTTCAGACCATCTGTTCACCCCTTTTATTTTGAAAAGGGGTGGAAAAGGGGTGAAAAGGGGTGGAAGTTGGGAAAACATATTTATCACAAGAGCCCATCCGAAGTTTCTGGTATTTTCACTTTTGCGGAAACTTCCGAAAATACTGGAAACCGAAGGCAGTTTAAAATTTTTAAATAACATGAGGCGATATGGGTATCGTTGGATGGAGCTTTTAGAAAGAAACATTTTTTGCTTGAAAAAAAAAAATTAATATCACTCGGAAATGAAAAGATGGTTTCAGATGTTCAAAGTGCCACCTTGACGAAGACGTCCTTTGTCTCACATTCCCCCAAAACTATTAACATTAACAAACACTTCTTCACTCGAAAAAAAAATGGTCTGAAACACCCTGTATATGGGTGAGTGCAAGTTTTGATGGACCGTGACAAAAATGGACTAAGCAGATTTATTGAAAAGTTCTATCAAGAATGATTTATTCTCATTTTGCCGAGTAATCGTCTTTATTCTTTACTGTCTTTGATGCATTATATATCTATATGTTTGTAAGCGCTGCTATAAAACTGGGTCATATCTTTGAAACCTATCAAAACCTTTGGACTCACCCTATATATATATATATATATAAAATTATATAAATTATATAAAAAAAATATATATAAAATTAACACATATAGATGCGATATTCCGTAAATCCCGTTGAGGATCTTTCTCCTCTCGGACGTCCTTCGAGCGCACGCGAGGTGGACGTACCATCGCGCTGTTCATCGTACGCGGCAATTCACTGAGGAAATCGGACAACGATCGGCGGGATCGGCGGAACGGATTCAGGGAGATAGATCGCCAGCGTCACCGAGGAAATTTAGCCGCATGATCTGCGGACACACCTTGATTTTATTCGCTCAGCATCCCTGTGCACGTCACGCGTCAAATCGCAGCCACACCATCCATCGTTAGCGTCGAAAGAATGTTCAGCCTTCACACCTTCGGGCCTCCCGATGTCCGTACGGGTGCATTCAGTGAATTTAGCTGTCATATTTTTCTACATTGTATATTCTGGTCACTGTGTACTGTATAATGTACTGGGCGCGCGTGAAAAGCGCTTGCGAGCTAGCGAAACCGTGAGAGAAACGGGATGAGGTCATTCATTCTCTCTTTCTCTCTTTCTCTCTCTCTCTCTTTCTCTCGCGCGCTTTTCGTCGCGCGTTAATGTTTAAAGATAATCGTTTGGTGCAATACGTAAAAAGTAGAAGAATCCGTAGTTCGACTCTTCCCTCATTTTAATTATTCACTGTACAAATTGTTTTACATACTTCTCGAAATAAAAATAACATGTCGTTTATAATACCGCGCGTTGTTTTCATTGCAAGATAGTGTGCATACTTACATATAAGCCGTTTGTACTTGTGGCTACGTCCGATCGACGAATATTCATCATTTTTCCACGTAAAAGTTCGCATCTCTTCGCCATATCTGAAAACATATCAACTGTGTATTAAAAGTGCATATCAAGCAAGTATTGAGTTAGTTACAAATCTGATTCCATATTTTTACTTAAATACTTCACTGCATTCAATGGAAACAAATCATTTATCGACGAAGTAATCGTTGTTGTCGCATCATATTCTGAGAATATCCTGACAGCAGAACATTATCAGTCTGCACTTCATTCAACGAAATGACGTTATTTATTGAAAATAAAAAAAGATTACCTACATAAATACATATATACATACATACCGTGTGTATGTATAAAGTAATCTTTTTGTTTTCAATTATAATTAGTCGCTTTTAGTTTGTATTCGGTTGTGAATCTGAGGAACTAATCAGTCTCTACTAGATTCGTTATAATCTAATGTGACACTTTATATACGTATATCGAGATCAAATTAAAAATATATTTCATTATATACCTCGACGTGAAGTACACTACGAGGACGATAACTCAGTCTGCATTTTCTTGTATCTTCGTATCTCCGCGTCGCTGACGGAAGGTACTAAATTGCGAACAGCATCCAGAAAGTGATGCACCTCTACAGTAATGTTATCCTCGAGTTTACTCTCTTCGTGCTGATTATTTTTTTCGTGTTCTGTGAGAGCTTCGCGTACGGCATTGAGCCACGCGTTGGAGGAGACCGAGTATAAATCCGCACCGGTGACATTGTCGGGTAATTGATCGACGACCAGCTGCAACTCTTGCCCGTGTTCTCGCATTTTGAACTTTCGTGTCTGCGCACGCAAAACGCTGAGCTTGGACTCGCGGTCGGAATGAATGCCAACGTACAGCATTTTGTCGAATCTTCCAGGTCGAAGCAGCGCGGGATCTATGAGATCGGGTCTGTTCGTAGCGCCCATGATGAATATGCTGCTGGATTCCTCGAGGCCATCCATCTCGGCGAGCAACTGAGAAACTACGCGATCCATCACGCCGCCGCTATCTCCGCTTCTACCTCGATTCGGCGCTAATGAATCCAGCTCGTCGAAGAAGATGATGCAAGGGGCCGAGGAACGTGCGCGCTCGAAGACTGCGAAACAGCACGAACAATCGGATGTTAATTCGCGATTTGATTTTACAGCAGATAGACATTATTGACACTTTCGCGGCTACGTGTCAGTCTGGCGTTTCGATACGTACTCTCCCTTACGTTTTTCTCGCTCTGACCAACGTACATGTTCAACACCTCCGGGCCTTTAACGGACAAAAAGTGCATTTGATATTCAGTTGCCACTGCTTTAGCGAGGAGAGTCTTCCCGGTGCCGGGCGGGCCGTACAAAAGCAATCCGAATTGTCCAAATCCGAAAGCGTTCAACATGGGCAGTTGGATTCTGCGAATAATTTCGTGTTTCAGTTCAGCCAAGCCGCCTATGTCGCACCAATGAACCTTCGGCACGCGTGGCGCGCCTTTACTGTCGGAATACACTGACTGCATGTACTCTGAAAACATTTTTTTCTTTTGTGAGAAACGAATTGAATATTGTCGGACGGTTAAATATCGTTGATCTGAATGTTAGTCCTGCTAGATTATACCGTAAGCTCGCTCGAAATCTTCCTGCGCCAAGGGTAAGGCTAATCCGCGTCGAAGCTTCGTCGCGTGCAAGGATAACGCCAACAAATCCGCGAATCTGAAATCCGAGCAAGAAGCAGCCACTTTCGAGAGATCCGCGACGGTCGTGAGATTCCTCGTAGACAGGAGCCACGACATCAGTTCCGCCCGTTCGCTCTGGGTCGTGTGCTTCACATGAATCGTCTCGATGAACAATCGTTGCAACTCCGCGGGCATGTCTGTCTCGTCGGATGCGGCTATAATGATGAGGGGGAATTTTCGCTGCGCGTCGTACAACGCTGCGATCTCCTTCGAGAAAGTGGATATGATCCTCTCGTCTTTTTGCCCCTCGGCGGTCTTGCCGAACACCTGTGAATGGAAAGCACAGTGATTTTGAAAGCGCGAGGTGACATCTCACGTGACATCCTTCTTCAACTCACTTGGACATTGTTCAGATATAGTACACACGGTACGCGTCGCTGCGTTGTTTGCAGCACTATGCGTAGCTTAGCTTCGGTCGACGCGCTTGTTAAAGCCTGCACTTCCGCGAAGTCAACATCGAGAAAGTTCAGTCCCATCCTTTCAGACGTGATTTCGACTAGTTCCTGCTTACCGCAACCTCGTGGTCCTTTCAGAAGAAATATCGGCTTTACGTGCAACTGATTGTCTGCAATTGAGACACGGTGTAAGAGAATAAGAGAAAAGTATATTTGCGCGTATTTCTAACAGCCGATTATCGATGTCTAGATGCGCGTAAGCAATCATTTACCCTTCTTAAGGAACGGTGTAATGCACATTTCTAGGTACTCGATGGCTTCCATCAGGATTGATGGATACCCAGTGCTCGGTAACTTCTCCGTCTCTTCGTTCTGCGGTAGGACGAAAGCTTCGCCGGAGAACGGTTGAATATGTTTTCGAGGAATATAACTGTGAACCTCTGCTTCTTGTATAAGTGTCGATAATCCACGTACGACGTAACAACTATTGACATTGTAGTGATGGCTATTGCGACTGAATTTTAAAGATTTAACTATAAAGAATATCACAGGATTCGTTGGAGTACCAGACGTGTAAAATCGATCTTGGGCGTATTCTTGCGCGTCGATCCTGATTACGTCGTTTATATGCAAATATCGGGGATGTAAGAAGTAGTTCTCTAACATAGCATCCATTATCTCGTTCGTGCAATCATATGAGGTAGTGATTAAGGATACTTTCATTTCAGTCGCAAATTGAATTACATTGTCTGTCGATGGTACTGAAAGGACATTTCAAGATTTAATTATCGGCTAGCAAATATTCAAGTGTTCGTTGAGATCAATGGACCATCATGTAAAATTCAAAAATCATGGAAACACATAGTTTATGAGAGAATTAATATACATTTAATAGAATATAAGCACTTACATATAAAACAAGATTCATCTAACCGTTCATAACACAAAGTATTTTGCAAATTGTGCTGCATTGTTTCAGAAATAAGAATAGTATTCTCATTAATATGATCTACAAGTATAATTGCACATTTATATTTCTTCATTGAAATCATTGAGCATATAGAAAACCAGGAACTTTTCGATTTCTTTAAAGACTGTATGTTTGCTAATGCACAACATTCATAATCAATATATTCATCTCCTGTATTTTCTAAATTATTCAACATGTTTCTTATGGTTGTATCTGGTAATATGATCCAACAAAGATTTTGCTTAAATAATCTTTGCAATCTAATATACAAAAATTCCAGAAGAATATAGCTCAATAGATAACGTTGATGTCTCCATAATAATGTACTTGTTATCCCTCTTATAATATTTTTATAAAATAACAATGTAAGAAGCATTCTTTGGTCCATCTTATATACAATTTATATGACAATCCTTTATACACACTACATAAAATTATAATCAAACTTAAATTCCTTCTAATATATCAGACCTGAAAATAAAGAAAATTGGATAGTTAATGAATGTTTTAGATAGTTTTGATCATTTTAAAACTGCATCAGAATTTTCAAATTAAATAGTGATACAAGGCAAAATATATTTTATATTATTTTTAAATTACTACTACATTTATTTTCTAAAATTTCTCAATTTTTAAGTTATATTGAAAAAATCAGGATCTATTAAAATTAGAAATTATGAACAATATTTGACTAAAAATGTTATGATGACGTTATAGGGATAAAATTATAAAGAACTTATATATTCTTCAACGTGCAAAAGTTATTGAGAGTCAATCATTTAAAAACGCACTCGTCATTCGCCTGAAATTCTTCTGGAATCAACAGTATTAGAGGTTACGTTTAATCGTAAAGCATAGATGCAAAGAGAGAAAAAAAGAGAAATCGGGAATAGGACTCGCGACTGATATAATGACAAGTAAATTTTTCAATGCATACAACTGCGCAAGGACAAGTGCATATTCCTTACATTTTTATAATTGTAAGTAAATACAGAGCAATTCTTGCAGTTTCGAAATCTGAGCGCAATGAATTGCCGCAATCTCACTCTTGTCACAGATGAGAACCACTGGCGTACCAATTTTGAGCTGATCTACCGAGTTACTATAGGAACAGCAGCGCGCAGGAAGCCTCTCCTCTCTCGAAGGAGCGTGTAAAGGTTCCTTCGTGGACAGCCGCGCTTGCGAACTTTGTGATAATTACTCACAATCAGACAGTGACATAACTGTCATCTGTCGCAGCTGACTTTGCACTACAGTTGCACGACGATCATCGATACAAAATTCTCTCGATCCAGGAGATCGAGACTTCGTCACTGTTCGTTACTTGCCGGTGCGAAGCGACGCAACACGACGCAACACGACGCGACGGATCTTCGGATCGTTCGAAGTACCACTGTAGTGAGAAGGCAGTGAAAACCGTTGATGGTGGTTGGTGGCGGCCTCCGAGAGCCGTTAAAACGCGTACCTAACCTAACCGAACCCGATAGCGTCCTTATTGGAGTTTTCGGAAGAGAATTTGTTCGAATTTAAAGATCCGGCTGCGAGCTACGGAACTATTATGCAAAACTGTGGTAAGCGAAGGTGTGCCTGTGCTCTGATAAGAATCTGAGTTGTTATCGCGCTAGACGGATATGTACATGTTATGCTCGCGATGTCGACGTCGACATCGACAACGATGTCGATGTCGACGAGTGCCGAACTACTTTGCGAATTCGAAATTGGTGTCGCGACTTTGACACTGCAATGATCTCAGCGAAAAACTGATCGTCGCGTTTTCGCTTATCGTGCTGCATTATATATATTACACATCTGGACGTTCTCTCTATTGACAGTGATTATTAGTTGTTAGGATGTTTATAAACTTGTACATGTGTAACTGTGTAATTAATTGATTAATTGATAATGCTGCTGAATGTTCATTGAAATTGTTTGCATTTAATCGTAAAACCTTTCTTTATCTCATCAGTGTATAAGGAAGCTTCTGAAAGATAAACAATATAGTAATGGATCCTGCTACGGTAATAGCTCTGTGCAAAGAAAATATTCAGCCGTTGAGATATGGGCGAAATGCTACACAATTAGGAACTGCATTGAGAGCTCAAGAGGACGTAGACGCACAGCATTTGCTGTTACAGGAAAAACAGTAATTATTGCGAGAACATCATTTAATGCTATTTGATTATAACTTTGGTCTTTTTTATATGAGCATATTTCATTAAGCAAAGAAAATTAAAACTTATATTTTGTACAGTTATCGAAAATAATGTATATTATTTCAGAATGTATGAGGATGCGATTAAACATTACGAAGGAGAGGATCCTCTAGAGAGTTGGTATGAATATATTCTGTGGGTAGAACAGAGTTACCCGAAAAATGGACATGAATCTCACATTGGAAGACTCTTGCAACAATGTTTGACATTATTTGAAAAGGAAGTAAAGTATCATCAAGATCGTCGTTATATTCGTTTATGGATTAATTATGTGAGTGATATCTTGTATGAATATAATCATACGGATATGCATATATTAATACATATGTATTGATGAGATTTTGCTTCCAGATAAGTATGCAAAAGAATCCTTTGGAATTGTATCATCTGTTGCATAACAATGGAATTGGTACTACTGTAGCTGACATGTACAGGGCCTGGGCTTTTGAACTGGAACAAATTGAAGATTATAAACGCGCTGATGAAGTTTACCTAATGGGACTATCTGCTCATGCAGAACCATACGACGAACTGAGTCATGCTCATCAGTACGGATAGTTGCTTTTGTACAATAAAATATCTTAAGAGTAGAAGTTAAATAATAAAAAATATTTTATATTCTTCCTATAGAAACTTTCAATTGTCTGTGGCCCGCAAGACACTTGGACGCATTGAAGAGAGAAGTGATATATCATTGCTGGAGCAACGTCAAGCTTTTAGTTCATTGAAAGCGATAAGAATTAGCAAGAGAGTGGGTAGTATACGTACAGGCCATCGTGTACGTGATTATTATCCTGGCACTATACCACAGATTGCAGCTTCTATGCAAAATGCAAAACCCAACTCTAAGATACAAATATATCAAGTGAGCAACATATGTCATGTATCGACACTAAATACGAGATATAACTCGTGTGCATTATAAAAATAGATATTGCAATAAAGGATGTTTACTCTTAACAGGATGATATGCCTGGGGAGATGAAAGTTTCTAATATATTAGATCATGTGCCTATCGAGGATGCAATACACAAGGAAAACATTATTAAAGCAGGAGTATGGAATCATGGACACAAGAGATGTCCATTAATAACTTCTAGTGTGAGACCAGGTTTTAAAGGTAAGAATAGAAGATCGTAGTACCAAAAGTCATTGCAGAAAAGCAGTAGGTAGTATCTCTTTATCCTTTTACAGTTCATGAAGACCAAAATGATGAATGTGACATGGAGAAACCGAAATTATTCCCAAACCATGTACATTTTGCTGATGGTAGTAAGGAACATGATTGTTTGAGGATACCAGTGTATGTACCAGATCTGGCATATCCAAATATTATACAAAAAGCATATTATCCCAAAGAACTAGTTTATGCTAACAATGTTGATCGTAGTATGGAAGAAATTAGAGCAGAACTTTATTTGCAGAGGTATATATTATGCTATAAAAATGTAATATGGAAGCATCTTGTATTTTATAGAAACATAGCGTTATTATTATTATTATTATTATTTATATAGTACATATTACTGGTTATTATGCGTTATAATTAAAAAATACGGTATTTTATACAGAACAGCGCAACTTTTGGAAAATAAACATGAAATGTCGGCGGTTTGTTTACGTGGCGGAACCAATGAACAGCCCCAGTCACAACTTAACAATTTCGAAAATATATATCATTTGCAAGAAATGGAAAAACAGAACAAATTAGATCAGCAAAGAAGAGAAGCTGAAATCAATAGACAGCAAAGACTCCAAGCTGAGCAACAAGAATTACAAAGGCAACAATATGAGGCCGAAAATCGAGCCTTAGAGACTCAACGACAGGAAGCCGAGCAAAGGGAATTGGAGAGGTTAGAGGCTGAAAGAATAGAAGCTGAGAGGCTAGAAGCCGAGAGGATAGAAGCTGAAAGGATAGAGGCTGAGAGGAGAGAAGCTGAAAGAATCGAGGCACAACGAATAGAAGAATTAAACACACAACGGAAATTGCAGTCATCGAGCTTTATGCACCAGCATCACTCTTCCTCATTAGCCACTGATGCCGAGGAGCATTTACTCGGTCTGAGTCTCACCGTAAATACGAAGGAAGCCATCACAGTTGTACAGGGTATGTGGCATTCCCCGGACGCCACGGCCGCTAATGTTCCGCGCTTTCGTAGCCCTGTAACACCCAGAATAGTAGATTCGAGAAGTAAATTACCATTCGATATACATATGGATGGTTCCATGACTCAGCATGCAATGTCCAATAGTAAGCATCATCAAGGATACAATATACAGGTTTATAATGATCAAGAGAACCATCAAAGTTATCACACGCCACATCATAGTTACTCCGGTCAGCAAGCAGCATATGGAAATCATAATTTGCAAAACAGTTTCCACTATCAAATGCAGGTATAGAAAACATTTACCATAATTTTACACTGTTACGTTACGTTATATATTTCGAGAAAATCAAAGATAATAACGTTTTCTTCCTACAAGTATATTTCATAGTTTACACGTATTTTCATAGCGTGTATGTCCTTGATTTAACACGAAGAGGATAATAAAGTAACACGGACATTTTGGTTGCAGCAACATCACGACCATCAAGTGCAACAGCCGCATCCCCGTCAGCACCACCCTCAGCAACATCATCAGCAGTTAATCGCATCGCCTCAACAGATGCATACCGCGCATCATCAGTCTCTTACCCATCCGCAGCATTTACAACCTCACAGTCAGATACCGCATCACCAGTCGCACGTTCATCAACAGCATCAGCAACATCAACACCAACAACATCAACAACATCAACAACATCAACAGCACCAACAACACCAACATCATCACCATCATCATCATCTCCATCATCAGTCCCCGCATACACCACATATACCACCGCATCCCCAGCAGCCACAACACATGCATCAGCATATGCAACATATACAGCATCCCGTTTACAGCAACATGTTACCCGACGTCATCGGATATCAGCAGTATCCAACGTCGATGGAACCTCCTATGCTGCAACATAGTGTGGAACAGCAAAAGCAATTGCATTTCTCACCATACAACGATCCTGACATTGAGACGAGCAAACCGTACAGAATGCCACCAGAGTTACCGTACATCAAGTCGCCCGGGATGAATCGTAAAGACATCAAATATCTCGAAAGCGCGGAAGATAAAGAGAATGCTATCGTCGTAGATTACAACGGTCCACTCGAAGAGAATATGGTGCCCAAACCAACGGATGAAAATAATTTGTATATTGACGAGAGTTTAGGTGTAACTCCTCTGTTAGGAGGAAACGAAACCTGCTTCACAGAAGCTTTTAACACGCAATTAGCCAGCTCCACACCAATGACTAATCATTTTAAGCCATCTTACAGAGTGAAAGAGGATCAGCAATTTCCGAACCAGACTACTACCAGTCAGCCGTACGTATTTCTCGATACTCGGTCATTTGTTCTTTCAGAAGTTGCACATGTTGAGACATCTAATTTGAATTTTATTTGTATTGAGCAGAATTACAGAAGTACCTACTCGCGAAGGTAATGAGAAATTGAGCGTAATATTGGAATCCACTCAGGAGTATGTTTCAAGCAGTTCAGGTAGCAGTACGTACACTAGAACTGCCGGATTGACTTTTGCATTAACCAGAGAGGATATGGTTCCCATCAAGGAACGACTTGCAGAAACAAGTATGTATATTTTCGTTGCATTATATCTTTTTCACATTTCTTTGATACAAATACTTCTATACATATGAGATTAAATATTAAGTATTAATATTAAATATTAAGTATGCATTTCTAGATATAATTCTTTATTTTAATTGAGTAGAATTATACAAGTTTTGACATACAAGTTTTCTTTATTGAACACGTAATAATGAAAGATCTCTTATGATTAAGCTATAAAAGAGGAATCGAAAGAGGAATCCATGCTATCCGTGGATCAACCTTACGAGCAAAAGCAGCACTCACAGATTCAAGCTGTGCACGCTCAGAGCCCACGTACGGTGCAACGAAATGTCGATCAGATAACTTCCGAGATAAAGAATAATTGCGATCTGAGGAAATCTATAAATTTCACGCTTAATAACGAAGATAATTCCGAGAAGTTGGACACTATGGATTGCGAGGAGCATGAACCCATGGAACAAGTGGAGGAAGAGTCTTTCGAACTCCCTACGAAGGACATCAATCCATTTGATAAGAACTTGATCGTGGGTCTGCTGAAGAAAATAAAATTCCCGCAACCACATCATGCAGATGGATATACAAGAATAGATACTAACTTAAACAAGTTCGTGCCTTCTACTGTGGTTACGCTCGGTCAGTATGCATTTTATTCTATTTAAAATCGATTGAAATGCATTTACAAATCTTCTTTTTTACTGTAAATTGCGCTTACGTTTATAATTACATAGGCAACGAGGCGTATGATTTGGAAAAGTGCCTTGGAAAAGGAATGTATGGAACAGTTTTTAAAGCAGTCAATATACAGACAAGCGAGACTGTTGCTCTTAAAACGCAAAAACCAGCCTGGGTCTGGGAATATTATATCGTGCGAGAAATAAAAGCGCGTCTTACGAATCCACACATGGTACTGTGTAATGTACAAATAAAACGTTCTAAATCTATCGTTACTAATGCATCGATGCATTTAATTCTAAGATATATTTATGAGTGCGCCACATACTTTCTTTCAAATTAATATTAATGCTGTTGCAGCTACGTGGTTTTATGGATGTGACAATGGCGTATATAGCGAACAACGGAAGTATACTAGTTTCAGAATATTCCAAGTTTGGAACGTTATTAGCAGTGACAAATCAGATAAAAATTGCCACTGGTAAACCTCTGATGGAGACCCTAGCTATTTTCTTCACAATTGAAATGCTTCAAATCGTGGAGTACTTACACAAATGCCAAATAATACATGGGGACATAAAGCCAGATAATTTTTTACTAATGCGACCGTTAGTATATTACTTGGTCGTTTAGGTTTCTCATTTCAGAATATGACTGAATTATGTTATATATTTTTATGCATTCATCAACAGACCTACGCAAGACGTGAGGCCAACTATACAGTTGATAGACTTTGGATGTAGTATAGACATGAAGTTATTACCAGAAAATACAACGTTTACCCAAGTAATTAAAACGGAAGACTTTACTTGTATCGAGATGCAAACTGGCAGACCATGGACATATCAAACGGATCTGTACTGCTTAGCAGCAACTAGCCATTGTTTATTATTTGGCAATTACATGAGGGTATCTAATATAGGTGGTCGTTGGTTTATTACTTCGAAATTGCCAAGGTATATAAGTAACAGCATACGTGAGTATCCAATCCACTTAGAAAAGGGAAGTCCTAACGATCGTGCTTTTTGTTTTACAGGTACGCTAAGAAGATTGCATGGGAGCAATTTTTTACAGAACTGTTGAATATTGAATCGTGTGACAAAATGCCAGACTTAGCAAGATTGAGAAATATGATGGAGGAGACACTGGCGCAAATGCCAGAGGTGCAAACAAGATTCCGAACTTTCGTCAACATCCTCAACAAACGATAACGCTTACTGTATCTGATGATATGTCCCAATGTGTGCACATATTTAGTAAAGAACCAACGTGTAATAAGAAACATTAATGTTATTGTGCTATTTATTATACAAGTTAATACTACAGTGATATATGTATCTACGCAGTTATAACACATTGAAATGCACTTTATGGCCTGCTTCGTGGAGGCTTTTACAGATATATGTTGCTTGCACATAATCGATATTATTAAGAGCACTGTGCAACGAGTTTGATCTTTTAACAAATGTTTCGGAAACTTACGAGGTTTGCGAAAGTTTATACGATAGAGGTTTTGAAAATGTATCTTGTTATCTCTCACGCCATGAATACACTCGCAGTTGCGAATAAACGTTGTATAATAAGATTCACAAAGTCTTACCAAATTCGAGTCTGTAAAAATGAATAGTACAATGTGCGTGTGATATGGATGTGCACTGTGGACTCTCAGATCAGCAAGATCGCATGCATGTACACTGAGTAATTGAGTACCTTGTATAGATAATTAATGTATATGTAACCCTTGTATATTTACTATAGGTCTTAGTTTTAAACCACTCGATTTTGTCGCATTGATGTCAACGGGTTCTATCGTTTTGCTTTCAGATATTCTCCAAGATGTATGAAAATATATCATGTCAATCATATTAAATGTTCATATTTCAGACACTATATCCCCAAATCTTTTAATTATGACAAGCAATAAAATAAATTCAGAAGGTGAATAAAACAGAATGACCTTAATGTCTATAAATGTTGGGAAATGCGTTGATTATAATTTATTGACAATAAAACATGATTATGATTCAGCATGTATTATCCGAAACAATGCTTTTTTTATTTTGAATATGTGCAGGCTTATTTTCGAGTATCCACTAAACAGGTCTTTTGTGCAATAATATACTTTATAAGTTAGAGTAAATATATTCAAAAAAATACCACAAGTCACGGGCAGATTAAAAACGTTTATATGATGCTTTAAAATTAAAAAAATTAAACAGCTGAAATATTATATATGCAATAATCAAAGTTGATAATACCATATAAAATGGATATCCTAATTCTATTATTGATTATTAAACCTATATTGTAATGTTAAGAAATTTAATAATTTTTAAACTCAATATTCATAAACTCTGTAGGTTTGTGAGATGTGAGATTCAAATGGAAAATCGAAATAGTAGTAATGTGATTTAACGGCAAATTAATCGGACTTTTATCTTTGTTATAATAGGAGATTACATAACAATGAGTGAAATATTGAAAAAATGTCCAATATAATATAAAAATTACTCTTATTCGACGAATGTATGTTCTCATAATTTTCAGTCCCAAATGTAATATTTGTTTTAGTAAAAAGTTGATTTTATAATTTAACTAATACATTGACGAGTATAAAAAATATTATTTTACACGTTATTTTAAACATTCACTCCTATCTATTTAAATAAGTTTTGAGTTTAAATAGTTAAATTTAATTTAATTCGTAAATAAATTGTATAAAAGTATTTATTATAAAACTAATTTGTTATTTTATGTGTGTGAAGTGTTTTTTTATTTTCTAAGTAATATTTATTGTCGAGTGACAGATTTAAATCACATCGATAATTGAATCAACAAACAATATAATTTTATTATTAGTAATATTTATTTGATTAACTATTTTGTCATATTAACTAAAAATAAAAATACAATACCACAATATCACTTAATCTTCATTGGAAATAGTGGTGACTCATAGCGTAGATTTCAAAACTATAAAGTATAAAATAAAAGTAGTTCGAAAATATAAAGTAACATTTTTTTGAACTTGGAATTTATTCGAACAAAAAATCGAAGCAGTAATGTAATTTAACAGCAAATTAGTGGGACTTTTGTTTTTGTTATAATATGATGAATTAACTAAAAATTGTCGGCAGAAAGACCAATCAAATTTGAAAACACGAGATGATAATCGATACCTTAATCTATTAAAATAATCGATTTATCTATCGAATATTCATATCGATTTATCTATCGAATATTCAGAAGCTCTTCTCTGATTGGCGTATATTTTGAAATTTGAAAGAATATACCAATCAAATACAAGAACTTACTAACTGTTCATTGAACGGTGGTAGGGTTGAAAACGCATTGAAAGAGGCAGAGAGAGAGAGAGAGAGAGAGTAAGATAGAGCGAGTACGTGAAGAGGTAGAAGTGAGGGAGGGAAAAGGATAAAATCAGAATGATGAGGTGCGCGAGGGCATGAACAGTGTGGAAGGAAGTGTGCGTAACAAAATATTGTATAATTTAAAATACAAATAATAATACTTTTTTGTGTATTTTTTGCATATCGTTTGCTTCGCGTATATTGTATTTTAGTTTATTATAACTATGGCGGTACAACCTAATCAACAATTTAGTATGGGTATGTAAAAATCTAACCAAAATCTCGTACTATGTTTCTGTTGTTTTTAATGTAATATTTTATTTCAGATCCTCCTACGCAACAGAGTTTCGTCAGGTTTTTTAAAAGCCTTCCAGAAGTAAGTATACAGAAATTATTTACTATTTAAACATTTTGCTTGACAATATTAAGAAGCAAAATAAAAGTAGCTATATAGAGTAGTTTCAACAAAATTTCCTTTTAGTTTTATATGTAATATTGATAACAATCTTATAAAGGAAATAAATATATGACTGAACAATTACATAAGGTTATATAGATGAAGGTCTGTGGTTTTATATAAAATAAATATGATGCTCTTAGAAAAGAAAATATATTTTTATTTAAATAAAATATGTAGATTGTATCTTAGCTCTACATTAATAATGTTCTATAATACTAATTCAGAATATTGAAATCTTGAATTTATAATGTTATGAATATATATTTAATTGTTAATTTACTTTATTTCTATTGGTGATTGCAAGTACACATTTATTATTGATAAAAAGATATAATTTTTTTAAATATCTGAAATCATTCTACCAAAGTTTGCTTTATATAAATAACTAATTTATGTAAAAAAAAAGAATAGATAAGAAAAGATCTAACCAAAGAATTCTCTAGCCTTTTCTTTGGCTTTGTCATATGTATTAGTTATTTTATTGCCAACTCTGGCCCAAAAAGATGGCGTAGCTTCTTCTTTTGTTGTAATCTCTATTATTTGCGTTGTAGTATCTATCATTTTTGTTGTACTCATATCCTCAACTTTATCTATTTCTGGTTTGTTTACTGAGGATAATGTATTAGCTACTAACCAAGGTATTATTTCCTTTTCTCTAGGTTTTTCCCTGATATCCCATGCTTCTTCACCATATATGGGAGGCAAGGTTGCACTGGGATTTGGTGTAACTCTTCTATAGATATCATCACTATGTGACCCATCATATGGTCCTCCACCATATACTTCTAAAATCCGTGGTTCCAATTTAGGTTCTACCTTTCCTGGCTCTTGATTTGATTGTTTATCTAATTGTGTTGTCTGTTGCGATATTTGACTGTGTTGCAGTGGGATTACTCTTGAGGCCGTATATTCAGAATTTTGATCAAATTGATTATCAAAAAGGGACGTTTCAAATGTATGCTTGCCTTGTGTTTCTTGTTGGCTAAAGTCAACTGGTTTTTGCTGCTGTTCTGTTTGTTGCGACATGGAATTATATTCAGGATAATAAGTATTATGTGGACTTTCAACATTAGTTAGGTCACTTGGATGATAAGTGTAATGCCATTGTAAACCCACTGTAGCATCATTTGATTTATGTACCCAATGTAAGCGATCTATGTTTTCTTTTTCATTATCAAATCCATTCCTTCCTTGGCTCCGCAAATCTTCAATTCTTGAACTTTGATAATTGAATTTAGGATATGTTGCATGACTACTATATTGGATAGTTTCTCTACCTCTGTTTTCTTCTCTACTTCTGCCTTTATCATTTATATCAATCTCTGGATTTATCTCAATTGGTTTAAGAACATCATCAATGTTTGTATCTACATGTGATGGATTTGAATTGTGTCTCTGTCTCGATTTCGGTTTTGGTGCTGGTCTTCTTGATTGTAACTCATCGTCCTGAGTAAAACCTTGATCAAAACCTTGATCAAAATCAGTCTTCTGTGACATTTGTCCTAACTGCCACTCAGATTCTTTGTCCCATCCATTTTGCTGCGAAGGATGTCCTGAGTATTGGTCATCGTATCTCGATCTATCTGCTTTCCATTGTTGTCCATGTTCTACATGTCTTGTTGTTTGTTGCGTGAAATCATCAAATCCACTAATTTGCTGGGTTAAATCTTTATTCTGTTGAGTGAAATCATCTAAATGCTGACTTCCAGATCTGTGTGACTGTGTTTGTTGTCCAAATTCTAGATTTCCCATTGTCTGCTGCGTAAAATCGTGAAATCCTCCAACTTTTTGAGTAAAATCTTCATTCTGTTGAGTGAGGTCCTCCAAATTTTGAGACTCGTGCGGCTGCAGCGTCTGTTGCCCAAATTCTAGATGTCCCATTGTCTGCTGCGTGGAATCATGGAATCCTCCAATCTGATGAGTAAAGTCTTCATTCTGTTGAGTGAAGTCTTCTAAATTTTGAGACTTGTGCGGCTGCTGCGTCTGTTGCCCAAACTCTAAATGTCCCATTGTCTGCTGCGTGGAATCATGGAATCCTCCAATCTGATGAGTAAAGTCTTCATTCTGTTGAGTGAAGTCTTCTAAATTTTGAGACTTGTGCGGCTGCTGCGTCTGTTGCCCAAACTCTAAATGTCCCATTGTCTGCTGCGTGGAATCACGAAATCCTCCAATTTGGTGGGTCAAATCTTCATTCTGTTGAGTGAAATCTTCCAGATTTTGAGGTTTGTGTGGCTGCTGCGTCTGTTGCCCAAACTCTAGATGTCCCATTGTCTGCTGCGTGGAATCATGGAATCCTCCAATCTGATGAGTAAAATCTTCATTCTGTTGAGTGAAGTCTTCTAAATTTTGAGACTTGTGCGGCTGCTGCGTCTGTTGCCCAAACTCTAAATGTCCCATTGTCTGCTGCGTGGAATCACGAAATCCTCCAATTTGGTGGGCCAAATCTTCATTCTGTTGAGTGAAATCTTCCAGATTTTGAGGTTTGTGTGGCTGCTGCGTCTGTTGCCCAAACTCTAGATGTCCCATTGTCTGCTGCGTGGAATCACGAAATTCTCCAATCAAATCTTCATTCTGTTGAGTGAAGTCTTCCAAATTTTGAGACCTGTGTGATTGCTGCGTCTGGTCAAATTCTAGATTTCCCATCATCTGTTGCGTGAATTCATCATTTCCTTCTGTTTGTTGAGTGAAATCTTTCTGATGACTAAATTCCTCCAAATATTGATTTTGCGGATTGTTCAATTTGTCTACCGGTTGCACATGTTGACTAAATTCAAGTTTACCACTTGTTTGCTGTGTGAAATCATCGGACCCTGTTGCCTGTTGTCCGAATGGTTCAGTTTGTTGCGTTAAATCTTCAAAATGTTGATTACCAACAGGATTCTGTCCGAATATAAGTTTATCACTGGTTTGTTGTGAGAAGCCATCTTCTATTTGTTGCGTAAATTGTTCATTTTGTTGCTTTAAATCTTCCAAGTGCTGACTACCAATAGTTTGTTGTCCAAACTCAAGTTTACCACTTGTTTGTTGCATTATATCTTTGGATCTTTCTATCCGTTGTGATGATCGTTCCAGTTGCTGAGTGTCATCAATCTGTTGTTCATACTTGAGCTTACCGATTCGTTCGTTTTGTTGCGTCAGATCCTCCAGCTGCTGACCATCCATAGAACCTTGCCCGAATTCAAGTTTACCACTTGTCTGTTGAGTAAAGTCGTCTGATCCTGTTGTCTGTTGTGTCAAATCATCCAAGTGCTGATTACCAACAGTATGTTGCCCGAATTCAAGCCCACTCATTTGCTGCGTCAGATCCTCCACCTGCTGACCATCCGCAGAACCTTGCCCGAATTCAAGTTTACCACTCATCTGTTGACTAAAGTCGTCCGATCCTGTTGTCTGTTGTGTCAAATCATCTAGGTGCTGATTACCAACAGTATGTTGTCCGAATTCAAGTCCACTCGTTTGCTGCGTCAGATCCTCCACCTGCTGACCATCCGCAGAACCTTGTCCGAATTCAAGTTTACCACTCGTCTGTTGAGTAAAGTCACCCAATCCTGTTGTCTGTTGTGTCAAGTCATCCAGATGCTGATTACCAGCAGTATGTTGCCCGAATTCAAGCCCACTCGTTTGCTGCGTCAGATCCTCCACCTGCTGACCATCCGCAGAACCTTGCCCGAATTCAAGTTTACCACTCGTCTGTTGACTAAAGTCGTCCGATCCTGTTGTCTGTTGTGTCAAATCATCTAGGTGCTGATTACCAGCAGTATGTTGTCCGAATTCAAGCCCACTCATTTGCTGCGTCAGATCCTCCACCTGCTGACCATCCGCAGAACCTTGCCCGAATTCAAGTTTACCACTCGTCTGTTGAGTGAAGTCGTCCGATCCTGTTGTCTGTTGTGTCAAATCATCTAGGTGCTGATTACCAGCAGTTTGTTGTTCGAATTCTTGTAACTGTTGCGTTAAGCCTTGCAACTGCTGCGATTCTTGGCCGAACTCCTGATACTGCTGCGTGAGGTCCTCGTGCTCAGCAGTTTGACGTTGATGCTCATCCACGAAACCGTGGTGGTCGTCTCGCTTGTATTTCCTATGATACCTAGTCTCTTGCTGATACTGCTGGGTCTCTTCGGTACAGTCGGCTGCGCCCTGCGCCGTATGACCCAAGTCCAAGGAGCCGGTGACCGATTGTCCTGAGCTCGTTCTGTAGGCAGAATTGTAAGTGTTGCCGCTGGTGTGCGCATGAGAATTGTATCCTTGCGCCGCGTTATGATGACGGTTCAAGTATTCGTTATACGCGTCTCTATCGTAATGTACCCTGTCTGCGTGACCGGCACCGTAAGTTGTACTAGGATTCGGATATGGGTTTCCACCGGTGCGGCTGGAGGAACTCCAATGTTCTTCGTAGTGCGTTGACTGACCTCGTCTGCTGGAATCTTGGCTCGGGTGGTGTACACGTTGGGAGTTTTCCGCAAGTAGCTGGTTTTCCGTCATTCTGGACTGATGGATGCCAGAGTGATGGCTCGTGCGCTGAATGTCGTCGATCGCGTGATGTCCCATGGAGTGCATGTTATGCAAGTTCGATTGATAGCCGTCTCTGATAACAGGTCTCTGGATGTAACCAGAGGACTCTGGAGCCAAGTGAGATAAATGAATCGGTTGAGTCGTGGGATTCGCTCGAGATACGTAGGTCTCGTGACTTTGGTAAGTTCTTTGATGCTCTGTACCGTAAGTACCCCCGGCTGCGGAGGGATACGTGTATGGTGTATGTTGCCTAATATCAGTGCGTTCACCTGCGAATGTTTCTCTCTGCTGTTGATCGGTGTAATGAGGTATGATTCCGGTGGACGGGACGCGATGCTGAGTCAATTGTTGTCTGTACGTGTCACTTTCGGCGGTTTGCAGATCGTCGTTGTGGAAGCCGACCGTTTCTTGTGTGAGACTCTGAGCAGAGCCTATGTGCGCAGTGGAGGCCACGTGATCGACTTTGGACGTCTGGTGAAACTCTCTTCTGAAGTCGTCGAGCTGCTTGTGCAAGTTCTGCTGTAATTCGTGGTGCAAGTCTTGCACCGTCGCCGAGCCGATGCTATCCTGAGGAACACTGGATGTACTGTAGCTAGAGGTGTAGTTCTTCTTATAGTAACGGACCTTCTTGGGACCGGTCGTATATTGACCTTCCTCTTCGAAGACGCGTCCGCGACCTCCGTCGGTCCTGTAGGAGTCCACTCTGCTCCAATTTTGCGGTAGCGTCTCCGCATGGTAACTAGTGTCACTCGATTGGCTGCTTCCGCCACCGTGGACACGTTGATTCACCTGCGAGTGGTCGCTGTATTCTCCAAAGTCCTCCAGCCGTTCGCTCTGGCTGTCAGTTCTCGATGACGACTGCGTCTGTTGACTGTGCACTTTGCTGTATCCGCTTTCTTTCGTGACCGACGTTGCTCCTACCTGATCGTATGCGCTTAGGGAATCGAGATGTTGGTTACTTGGAATGTGCACCGTGTCGTATACTCGATGACCGGTTAATTGATCCAATCCCGTCGCGTCTGCATTGCCTGTGTTACTCGTACTGTAAGACGAGGTGAAGTTCTTCTTGTAATAACGCGTCTTCTTCGAACTATCTTCATATTGGCCTCGTTCTTCATAGACTTTGCCGTGCCCATTGTCTGTGTTGTACTGATTGTGTTCGGTCCAATTGCCTGGTCTGGTGTAATCGTACTCATTCAAATTGGTAGCTCCTTGAATTAAAGCAGCATGATCTTGGTGACTACCGGACGTTTGGCGACTTTGGTAGGATGACTGATAAAAGTTACAGGACTCTATGCAGCCACTCGGCGCGGATAACGCTTGAGCAAATAACACGGATAAGACGATTATTCGCCCTAACGCCATCATTCTTATCCGATTTCTAAAATGAGAAAAATATTTGGATTAATTTACCTTTCTTCTCTTCTTTTTACGCATGTTTCGAGATTTGAGATTTAAGTTATTCTGTTTCTTCCAAAGTTGCAATTTTTAATGAATATATGGATGGAACATTATCTATCGAGTATTAATTAATATAATTGATAACTTAAAGACGTAATATGAGATGTACATATAAATTAAGTTCATAATTTGTATTATTAATTGGTTTTTTACAATCAAGAATTCGATTTTGATAATAAAAGGAGAAACTAGTAAAACTTTAGATTCATATAATTAGTCGTTTACATTTTTGTAAACCTCACCAATATTAATACCTTTACACTTTTATTTGTACACTCAATTCACAATTTGAGGCGGTTAATAATGTTTCGTTACCTTATACAATAAAAGAGACGCACACTTATAATTCAGTTGTTAATGCAGAGATGTTCTCACTAACACTGTAGGCTGACATGTAACAGGAGTTGATTGCCGCAAATCCATTTATGTTCTCTACCCCTTCTTCTCATCGATGATTCTCAGAGCATTCTTTTCCTTTTCACTCTTACACATTAACGATCTGCTCTTTTTATCCATCACAATCCATACTCGTCTTTATCGCATGCAATTCGCAAGAAATCAAAAGTGGACTGTATCATTGCTATATAAGTATAAAAAGAGGATACATTCCCATTTGACTTGTGGATGATATATTTGACAGATACATCAATTCTGTATCATATTGCCAATATTTGCATTATTCCATAATGCTAAAGTTATGGATTATATTTTATTATTTCGCATCAAACGGTCGTCTTTTTTTACGCTATTAACAGCTTGAAACCGATGTGTTAGAAATATCTGCATCTTATAAAAAATTTTTTATTTGGCGATGAACATCGATAACGTACTTGACGTTCTTGCAAACTTGTTTATAATCATACGTTAAGATATGTTACATGATAAAAAAAGTCGTGTGCAAAAGAGAGATTTCTTGCAAGAAACACGTCTGTTTGTCAGAATACACTGTTAGATATATCTCCAGTAGAAAATAGCAAACACAACAAGATCGTAAATTTACAATGATTACCTTTCAGTTCAGCACATTTAAGAAACTTGTATCTACATCCTCTTCGATTATCCACACGACAACATTCTTAAACAAAAAAAAACATGATGCATTCTACTTATGCGTATATATGTGTATGGTAGCTAACGTAACTCTACGACTTCCAGGTAGTATCTATAAACGGTTTTCCATGTTTGGCTTGATGTGTCATTGCTTAAGTCATTCTGAATTTGTAACATCCTTGTCGAGGCGATCACTTTCATTCAGTAACACTCAGAATAATTTCAAGGTTACTGTTATATAAAGGCCGTAAGGCTTTTCTAATGACATTTTTCTTCTTAATTATATGCTACAAAAATGAGAAATTCATTTTACAAACTTCTTCTTTTATCTTATACCTATTATCGGAATATGACAACATGGTATATCCTTTAAAAAAGTTTGTAAAAAGAGGGACGTTTGCGAAAACAAAAGAACAGTAGCCTACTTATAACATAAATTACTGACCTTCCTGAAATATGAACTATGACCTTTTATCATACTAAGGATGAATAATGTTTTCCTGAGAACGACCTCAATAATATAGGTATCATTAAAGCTGATGAAGATTTCCCATCAGGCTAACATGTACAAAGACAAGAAGCTCCCACTCATAGTCATTAAAAAACAATATTTACATCAAAGAAAATTTATTTTTATACACATTATTTATATTTAAGAATTTAGTATATTATCTGTATTATTTATTCTCTTGTCCTCTATGGATAACGTGAAGAATTTTTTTATACGTAAATTATATATCAATAAATTATATATAAAAATCACATAGAATCGTATGAGCACAATATAATATGTGATATGTATAAATTCTTAGCAGTCTCAGAATATTCGCAAGCAATGTTAGCGGAAAGACCATTCATTTACTATTTCGTTGAATCGTAAAATGAAACGATTTGCAAATTTTTGCGCATCCTTAAAATATGAGGAAAACATTCGATTGGAAGTTCCAGCTTCTATGAAACTGTACGCATCGAAGTTGTGACGACCTATGACACTCTGACCTCCTGATAGACATTGACCTACTGATACGTTACAAGATTTTCAATTTCTCAGAAGTATGAAATACACGACAATATTTCAGAAACGGTACCACGTTAAATAAATGTAAAAATATCTGCCAGAAGTTTCTAACAGACGAGAGTATATTGTTATGCTTACATCATGTTTAATAGTAAAATGCAGTATGAGTTTTAAGTAAAATTATATAATATTAAAATACTTCATATAATATTTGTCCAAAAGAATTTTTTAAATTATTTTTTCTCTTTTATTTGTTATTGTATGTAAGTTTATGTATATATTTTAATATCTCCGTTACACTATAAAAGATTGTATTTTTTATACATATAAAATTTAAGAATATGATTATTATATATCTACGAGTTGCACATATAGACGGTTGTATATTAACGGTCTGTAATGTAATGTTAATGTTTTTAACGTTATAATTGTAATATTATTTTAGGAAGATATGGTAGTTATCTCTATAAGAGCTTACGAGTTGTGCAAATAGGTCAAGGATGAGTTTAAATGACAAGTTTATACAGCGTGAGATTCAGTTCACAATATGCTGTGACGCATTATATGCTCCCGTTTCATCATAACATGATTTTAAATATTGGAAAGAGGAAAATTTAATGGAAAATACAATGTTTTGATAATATACGTTTCTCAAAATATTTGAGAAATCTTTATCTTATATAATATTACAGAATTTGAAGATATTCTTGATGAACAAATTGGCATAATTTAATAATTGAATATATTAATAATTGTATAAATAATTTAATAATTGTATATTTCAGAAATTAAACACGACTATACGATTTTTCAATAGAGCGGATTATTACACAGTACATGGAAGTGATGCTTTATTTGCTGCGCAAGAAGTATTTAAATCAACATCTGTTTGCAAAATGATTGGGGCTGGTAAATATTATTTAGATGTCGAAAAATTTTATATATTCTATATCAGTTCAATCAGTTATTAAGTATTTTACATTGATATATTATTATATGTATTCAAATTGTTATAAATATTTGCTTGAATAATTATTTTTATTTTCCATTTACCGTTGAAGTATTGAAATGTTTGTACTTTTTATATCTTTTAGTTGTTATATATAATCTTTAAATGATTTTCTTATATAATCTTTAATTGATTTCATCCAATTTATCTTATCCACATAATTTCTAACAGTCTTATCAACAATAATACTTCTTAATTGTGAATGCATCTTAAATTCATTAAATTAAATTAAATTTTCAATTTAACGTTTAGTTCTTGCAATGGAAGCTAATATAACAATCCTAATAATAAAATGATTTTTTAACGTAGAGCCACACAAGACGGAAGGAGTTATACTCAATAAAAATCACTTTGAGACATTTGTGCGCGACTTATTGTTAGTGAAGCAATACAGAGTAGAAGTCTATGTCAATCAAGGCTCTGCCAAGAATCAAAATTGGATCCTAGAGTATAAAGGATCTCCGGGAAATTTATCTCATTTCGAAGATATTTTATTCGGTAACAATGACATAGCCGTGGGTGTATCTGTAATAGCAGTGAAACTGGGCACTGAAGGAAAATCCAGAGTGAGTTTGTTATACGTCATAAGATAGTAATAATGATATGTGTGTATGTGTGAGATAGAGAGAGAAATATTACATGCATATAACGATGTAAGAGTAGTGTTATAGATCATTTAAAAAATTTTTAGGTTGTCGGTTTAAGCTGTGTGGATGTGGTTTCAACGTTAATTTCAGTTGCTGAGTTCCAAGATAATGAATCATTTTCGAATCTAGAGTCACTCGTTGTAACTCTTGCACCAAAAGAATGTTTATTAATTCAAGGGGAAGGCAGTTATGAATTTCAAAATCTTAAACAAGTATGTATTGATAAATCTTGTTTATGCGCTTGAACTGCATAAATTGTGTACTATAATTAGATATCCCAATATACAATGCTGTAATTTTTGTTTATCTTTTCTTAGATGATGGAAAGAAGCAACGTGTTGGTGACTTTAAGAAAAAAAAGTGAATTTTCCAGTGATTCAGTCATAGAAGACTTAAATACATTGATAAAATTCAAAAAAGGGCAAAAGCAAAATGCTCAATCTCTACCCGAAGTTAACTTAAATATAGCTATGTCTGCTACATCCGCTCTCATCAAGTATTTAGATGTAAGTGCTGTTATATAATTTTATTTTAAACATCTTCCTGTATAAAAGTTGTACTCTTTTTAACTACATCATATCTTAATAATATATTTTATGGAAACAATTTTCTTCGAGTTATTTAATAATAAAAATTAAGTGTAGGAAAATATGTGATATTTATGCAATTTGTGATTTGTTTTAGTTGACATCAGATGAAGGCCATATGAATCAGTTTGCCCTAAAGCAAGTGGAACAGTCGCGATATTTAAGATTGGATTCTGCAGCGATAAAAGCTCTTAACATTGAGCCGCGTGTCGATTCAGCCTCGAATTTACATGGGAATCCCGTTGCCAGTATTCTAACACTACTAGATAAATGTAGAACTGCACAGGGTCATAGATTGATCGCACAATGGGTTCGTCAACCTCTTAGAGACTTATCTCTAATAAAGGAACGGCATGACATCGTTGAATTATTAGTGAAAAACAATGAATTGAGATCTGCTCTTTGCGAGGATTATCTGAGACGTATACCCGATTTGCAACAACTTGCAAAAAAGCTGGCAAGGAAGAAATCAGCGCTGCAAGATTGTTATAAGTGAGTCATCTCGTTATTAAGAAGCAATAACGATTACCGTTATAACGAAATATTGACATAGCGTTTATAGAGAACATATGTACGGATATGTTTAATTGTATGTGTATTCATTTTAGAATCTACCTGTGTGTATCGTACTTGCCAAAATTATTGGAACAACTTGCACCAGAAGCGAATTTGGCTGCTTTGAAAGCAATAATAATAGATCCTTTGAAAGAATTGATCGAGGATATGGATAAATTTCAACAGCTAGTAGAACAGACAATCGATTTAGATGCCGCTGAGAAGGGAGACTTCATGATTAACTCAGGATTTACAGACGATTTCAAAGGTACTAATTTGTAACTATACTAATTATATTTTTTATTTAACAAGACGAGCTATTTGAAATACCATAAATTTAATAGATATAAAAATTACATAACTTTTTAATATTACTATACAGCTCTGAAAGATACCATGGATGAAATGGAGGAAATTATACAACAGCAGCTCAGTAAAGTAGCGGATGATCTCCTCTTGGAAGCAGGAAAAGCGATAAAATTAGAATCTAACCAACAATTCGGCTATTATTTCCGTATCACATTGAAGGAAGAGAAAGTACTTAGGAATAAGAAACATTACAACATTTTGGACTCTAACAAAACCGGAGTGAGATTTCGAAATAGCAAACTAAGTGAATTGAACGATGATTTTATAGCTGCTAGAAATAAATACATGGACAAACAGAAAGATGTCATTGCGGAAATTATGGGAATTGCAGGTTTGTGTCTACTAGTATTTTACTATTCCATGAATAAAAAAAGTTTCTCAAATACATTAATTAACATATATTTACAAATATTTACAGCCGGTTATAGTGAGACAGTGCGTGCTATTGGTAGCGTATTGGCATGCCTCGATGTTCTTACTGCATTTGCCTCTGCTGCAGTAAGCGCTAACAAGGTGTATGTACGTCCTGATATGGTACCAAGTGAAGAAGGTGAACTGAATCTCGTTCAAATCAGACATCCGTGCCTGGAAATGCAACAAGGAATAGACTACATTGCCAATGATGTCAATTTTAAGCGAGGTAAAATATAAATGATTTAGATGCACACTGATTTCTCACGGGATTGTTACTGATAGAATCGTTTCGTTCATGAATTGTTAGTATTTCTAGGAAAATTTCTGAGTTTTGCTTTTAATTTATTCATTTATCTATAGATCAGTGTCATTTTCGCATCATAACTGGACCAAATATGGGAGGTAAAAGTACTTACATTAGATCTGTTGGTGTAACTGCACTAATGGCTCACATTGGTAGTTTTGTTCCTTGTGATAAGGCAACTATATCGTTACTGGACTGTATATTGGCTCGAGTGGGAGCTGATGATTCTCAGTTGAAAGGATTGTCGACTTTCATGATGGAGATGATAGAAACTGCTGCCATTTTAAAAGTAATTAATATTACTGTTATAAACACACACATGCTATATTCAGATATATATATATATATATATATTTTTTTTTTTAAAGTAGTATTAGACTTTTTTACTCTCAGTAGTACTAAATTTTTTTTATTCTATGTCGAGTGAATATCTCAAAAGTGTCGTCATTGTGTAAACAAAATTATATCGCTATCTTATGTTCCTCTTCAAACCAAACAACTTTTGTCTGAAACATCTTTTCGTATCTTATATTTTTCGGGATATTTGAGTGGATAAATTAAAATGAGCCACCTTGTATATATATAATTTGTAATGTATTATATACTTCGAATACATAGACGGCAACATGTAACTCTCTCGTAATAATCGATGAATTGGGTAGAGGAACATCAACGTATGAAGGTTGTGGTATAGCATGGTCAATAGCAGAGTAAGTATATGCCATGGAAGCTGTCATTTTTATTAATTTACTTTCTATGAAGAGAATTTATAAAATGATATAAAATATTATGTATATGAAAATCATTTTACGATTTTACTTAGACACTTAGCAAAGGATATTAAATCATATTGTCTGTTTGCTACACACTTCCACGAAATTACCAAGTTAGCTGAAGAAATATCTACTGTAAAAAATGAACATGTTACTGCTCTTGTCGAGAACAATAAGCTGACATTACTTTATAAAGTAAAATCAGGAATTTGCGATCAAAGTTTTGGTTTGCACGTCGCAAAAATGGCTAATTTTCCACAAGATGTGATAGAGGTACGTTTGTTTGTTCTATATTCGCATAATATAATATTACATGTGCGTTTTGTATTTTATTATATGCAATTTTCAGTTTGCCAAAAGAAAACAAGCAGAACTTGAAGATTATGAAGGCGTAGTTTTTGAAGGATCTGATAATCCTCAAAAGAAGCGAAAAATTATTCAGGTATTTTTATTAATATTTATATTTCTATAGTTCTAGTAATAAAAGAACAATATAATGCTATATATGCAATGATTTGTAATATATAATCATAATGTTACAGGAAGCTGAAACATTAATCTCACAATTTCTCACAAAATGCGATTCTTTAGATCAATCTTTATCTGATACCGATTTACAAAAACAGGTATCATTACTGAAAGAAGATGTTCTTTCTCATAAGAATTCGTATATCGAAGCATTACTCACCCCTTCTTAAATGAAACTGAGAATTGTGTTGTGATACCCTGTTACCAATACTCTACTACTTATTATAAAAAGCATAACAAACAGTATTATTTTTGTATCTTTGTATATTGGTTCTAAACCGAATAGATTCTGTACAGGTCATTTTTATTAAAATGATTTTATATACATGTTCTGTATTCATCTTCATGAGTTTTGCTATCCATATATCAAGAATTTTGCTTTCGTTATTTTAATTTGATGTAATAATATATCCTGTTATAAAAGACCCGCGTTTAAAATACTTCCACGTTTATACCGTCTGCCGATAACATATTGATTCATACTACTCGCTATTGTAACCTTGAACTTGACTAACGTATTCGTTCGGTTCTGGGGAGTGTCGGGAGTGTCTGAAGGCCTGTATCAGTGACTGTTGATCGTACACTTTTCTATCGTTTTTATCAATAATAATTATGGATCCCGCGGTCTTCCCGGAAGAAATTTGGATTAAGATTTTATTATACTGCGATGTACCTGACATTATTGCGTTCGGCAGCACCTGCAAATACTTAAGGAAAACATCGGACACCGATTATCTGTGGTGAGTGCTTAGGTTAAGTGTACGTGAAATTCTCGTCTCAAGATAATTTTGACAAAGTTATGAGCGATATATGCTTGAGATACGTTATTCCGACACGCAAATTGATATATCGATTTCGGCTACTAATTTTACGAAATTCAGTTTGAGATTTTTTTTTTTTAATTATAAAAGTAATTGTCTCCTTTTTCGGGAGGCTTTTAATACTTGTGATATAACATAAATACGAAATTTAACAATATTTAAGAAATTTCAGATGATATTAACACTTGCTGTTTTAAATGATATTATTTTAAGCATACAACAGGAATATACATCATACTAATGAATTTTTTTACTCTTTTCCAATAAAGTAGTTTATCTATATTTCGTTAAAACATTTTCCGGGGATTTCCAATGTTTCTAATAGCGAGTTCTTAAATAGGAATTGTGTTTTTGAGATGTAGTAAATGTTATATATAAATTACATGATACATATTGTTTATTTCCAATTGTTAAAGCAACATATTTGTATTATTTTAGGAAAATGAAATGGCTGCAGCTGATTTCAAAGGTACACTTTAAATTCCCAGACATAAAATGTCTACAGTTACTTAGTGTCAGTTTCAAAGCCATGTGCTATAGATTGCATATGGTAATAACACTGGGAGAAAATGTACCTTTTCCAAAATGTTACCACTGTAGTAGCTACACATGTCAAAGGAACTGTGTAGAAGGTTCTAGTGCTAAAGTGGTAATTGAGATTGGTAATAAGTATACATGGGTTATTACACCATTCTTTGGACTAAGAAGACATTTTTCAATGTTTGGTATTCCAAGATATAACAATAAAACTCATGTGGAACAAACACAGACGCAAAATATTCCTAGTAGTAGCACACGCTCAAAACCTGAAACAAAGTCACTAGCAAAGAGATTGAAGTTGTTGAAACTATCAGAATTAGCAACTGCTAAAATTCCACGGCCGAGTGGTCCATTTTGCGTTTTTTGCAACCCTGTAAAACTATATAGAGAGAAGCGAAGATTAGTTACGCATCAAAATGATCCATTGTGTTACACCAGACCAAACCCTATCTATCAGAAGCTCATAAATGGTTATTGCACCGACACAGTCGAAGTTCTCGGTATTCCAAATGTGGATATCGTGAGTCCGGCGGAGGCATTACTGTGCGAAGGCACATTCCCAGTTCTTAAGACCTTCATTGATCATTTGTTTCATCAAATGAGTTTAACTACAACATTAAGAAAGCCAAATACTGTACTCATGTTTTGCGAACCATTGGCTATGCAACCAACATTGAGGAAACAACTATTGCATTATTTGTTCCAAGAGGTTAAAGTAGCAAGGTATGACAAATCATTAATATCATTCAAGGTATTCTTTATACAAAGAATATCTCTTGCTATTATTACTATTCTTAAATACAGATATACTAAAAAAATATTTATAATAGAAATCATAAGATTGATAAGATAGCAGGACATATATCTAGTGTATATTTAACAAAATTTTAAAATATTTCATATTATATCTCAGTAATTGACAGAATTTTACAACTGAAACTATTACAGAGTATGCCTGGTACCTAAACCTTTGGCAGCATGTGCCATGCTGGATGTCGAAACTTGCGTGGTAGTCGACAGTGGTGCTTTAAGCACGACGGTAGCTGTCGTAATTGGAGGTCGGGTTATACCACAGCGCTGGAGGTTGCTGCCTGTAGGTGGTTGGCACGTTGCTTATCATTTGAAGCAAGCTTTGCACTGGCAACCAAAGGAATATCATCAAATTCCTATATCGTATCTAGATATTCTGGCTGTTAAAGAAAGATGCAGGTTGAGTTATAACATTAAGAATGAGGAGAAACGTCTGGGACCGAAGGCAAGAGAGCATATTAATCTTCGAGTTGACAGTTACGCAGACTATAAGCAATTTTGGGTATGTATAACCGACATATATTAACATATATAGGATGGCCCTAAACATTCCGACCAGACTTTGAGATTTTATATGGGAAATTTAATCTTGAACAAAAAGTTTCCTACAAACAAGGGACGAAAAATGCGAGTCATCTAGGAATGGTTAATTTTTTAAGAAAACATTTTTCGACTCATGTCTATAAGGAACTTTTTGTTCAGAATTAAATTTCCTATATAAAATCTCAAAGTCTGGCCGGAATGTTTGGGACCACTTTATACATATTTAGACTTGTGATAACAGTATACCCTGCACAAAATACTATTATTTTCAGAGAGTATCTTTAGGATCTGAATTGTACATAGCTCCTGAAATGATGTATATCAGTCTTGGTCTGCCCCAAGTTATAAAAGATGTGACTTCGGGATTGTCGGAAGATGAAATGCACGATTGTCTTTCACATATTCTACTTACCGGTGGAAATACAGATCTTTCGGGTTTCGAATTAAGGCTTACTAAAGATTTAGTTGAGTTATTGCCGGAATATAGCCATATTTTAGATGTGAGAAGTTGTCCTGGTACACACAGTTGGAATGTCGCAATGGGATCTACATATGTGCCTTTAGCTGTGCATCCGGGTGAGTGTCGATAAATTTTCCATATACCGTCGTACATAATAATAATTAAATATCGTAATAACCGCAACGATAACATCAGTATTAGTAATATTAATAAAAAGAGTATAAATATGAGGAGTATAAAAATAAGAAATAGATTGAATATATTAAAAAATAAAGAATGCAAATAGCACAAATAGTGAGACAATATCTTAAAACGCGTTTCAGATAAAACTCCTCCGGAATATATTGAAGGTAATCCATTTTGGCTGTCACGAGAGGAATATGTATTGTTTGGATGTGAATCTCTAGAACACAATAATGAAGATATAATAGGTGATACTTTATAATATTAATGCCTCACTCAAATATAACAATAAGATGCGCGCGATTACATAATGCATAATATTGAGAAAGTAAATGTTACCATCATTAAGTATATATTTTCTCTTATATTGTCTATAAATTGAAGAAATTGTTTAAATAGTTGAAGGGGCCTGAAACATTCCAAAGTATAACTAGTATGTTCACTATTTAAGGGCACCTGAATGTGTTTCTCAAATTATGCTATTTAAAATTTGTTTACTATGCTAACATAGTACACATGTAAGATATATACTAGATGTTCTATTTTCCAATCTATGCCAAGTGAAATGTTTGAAATAAGAAAAGATACGAAAGACTTTATGTTAATTTAATTTTTTATTTATTTTATATCGAATATTTTGTCAAAAGAAAAAAAGTCCTTTTGTATAAATGCGATTAACATAGACATTTTTAGCTTTATTTGAATATTAATTAAAAAGATGTGTGTGCGTACGTGTGTGTGCGCATGCGCGTGCGCGTGTATGTATATAGGTGTTCTACACTATCGTAAAATATTCTAATATTATATTCTGAGAAAGTTAGAATTGAAAATTCTATTACAAAAATTAATATATTGGATAATCAATGTATTCAGATTCATAATTATGCGTATCGATTATTCATTTGTTATTGATTTTCACAGCTTAACCGATATATATTTTTTTGAATTATATAATATGTAATAAAAAAGAAACACTATATATAAATAATTTTACGATTTGTTACTTATATTTCGTACAAGGACTAGATTTTTTGCATAGATAAAAGGAACATCTTGTATATATGCTCTAAAACTGCCCCCATTAACTTCAAAACTTGTGGCATTTAAATTTTCACATATACTCTATATCTATTATTAGAAATATTAATAGTATTTCAGAAAAATATAAAGCTTTATATAAAGCTAATTGATAATTGCAGTAGTTTCGTACATTCGTTACTAGCTATGTCAGGACTATTTAGCACTTGATGCTATTCAAGTCAGTGCAATGTTACATGTTGATGGCATGAATATTTTAAAGCTGCAATATGAAATTTTAGTGCCATCTAAGCAAGTTTAAATCATAAAGCTATTATTTTTTATGTACATAGCACATCTAGTGAATTGTTTTGTAAATATAGAATAATGAAGCTGCTTAAAACAGATCATTATATCGATAAACGTCAAACAAGTATTATATATAATGCTGAATATAGTATTTCCAAAAATTGTTCACTATTTCGTACATTTATATCACAGAAATCTTGCCAAAAGAAGTATGTGAATGTTAAAGAGAGAAAGCGTAGAAACACATTTCTAGTCACTTTAGATATAAGTAGATTTAAATATAGATTCAGTAAAATGAGAGATTTCTCCCCCCCCTCCTACTCTCTCTCTCCCCCTCCTCTCTCTCTCTCTCTCACTCCTTTTCTTCCTCCCTCCCTCTTTTTTTTCTCTCTCTCTCTCTCTCTTCCAAGATGAAGTAAATAATAATTACATTAGCAAGTTCTAATAAAAAAAAGAAAAGATACAATGAATCTTTAGATAATAGATTCAAATATGATTTTCATGAAATATGAAGATATTGTTATTATAATTTTTTGTTATTAAAAGATATAATTTTATGAGTAAGTTAAGATATAATTATTGAAATCATTATTCTTGATCTGTACAGATATCTAATTAATTAAGAGAGTATTGACTTTCATAGTTGTAATTAGTATATTGAGGTGAGTTAAATATATTATTTAAATAAGAATATATATATAATGTAACTAGCATAGCCGTGTTAATTAAAGAAAAAAGTAATATTGTAAATGCTACATTATGAAAGACGTTTGTATTAAAAAAATATCAAAACCTAAATTATTATTGTGTTAGCAATTAAAAATCTTTCAAAAAAGATTTAGGTAATAACAGATCTCACATAGGATATCAATCCTGTAAAATGCTAAAATGTAAGTATAACATTTAACAAATTAACATAACAAAGTAGTTTAACAAATTAACATAACAGAGTAGTGTAACATGCATATGTTATATTCTTTTTTCTTTTATTGTTTATAACATATAAGTAAATTTCTCTCTAGATATTTTTTAATATAAAGAAATATATATACTGTTATATACACAAGAATATTTTTTCGAATTAAATATAAATTGTGTCCGATTTATATATAAGTTATTTATGCATACATTGGTTTATTGCATTCAGGTATTATATTTTGGAAATTTAGAAAATATTCCACATTTGTAAAAAGTACAAAGTATAAAATATTACACATATATTTCAAATAGTGTACCAGCTTATAAAAAATCTCATTTCGTTTTTCAATCTAAAATATTCGTATGTTATACTATATATTATAATATATGATTTATACTTTGGTTATGCTTAAATAGTTTATGCAATACATAAAGCAAGCGGCTTTACAATACTATACTATCAGCAATGTAACTGTTACATATCTTACAAGTAATTAATGTTTTTACAAACTGTGGCATTATATAGATAACTGTTTATCAAAAATCAGTTCATGAAGAAATGGTGAGAAATTTATTTTACTATTATGTACACCTATATTTTTGCATTTTTGTCTAGTATCAACTTCAAATCTACTTCATATTAGACAATGCATATTATATTATGAATGATAAATCTCATACTGTAGAAATAAATTTTTATTATTACACAAAGAAAGTGGATTCAACAAAGCATTTAGCACAGCCGTTATCATTCATTTAATAACACAATAACGTGGATCTGTTTAACAAAATACATCAAAAGCCCGATTGTGGAAATTCTTTATAAAGATATATATATGTACGTATATATATACATATATATGAAGTATTTTATACAATATTTCATACAAAAACAATCTTAATTCAACCCTTAAATGTTGCAATATTATATTAATGTATCAGATGACCAACAAAATTCGCAATTTATAGAAATTTAACATATTGGTAAAAATTCTGTAAATCGGTTATCGTCAGAGAGTTCAATATATTGATCAAATATCGCTTAGAAAATATAGTTTATTTCGGTAAAGTCAGAAGTTAAACATAATTCCGGAATATTTTTTGTGTCATTAAGCAAATTATAAATATACTTCTAAGCAAAGCTCGAAATTATATGTAATTTTTGACTTCACCGAATATATATGATTAGACAATATGTATATTCCTGAAGTTGCAATCTCAAATTCGCTAATATTTCAGGTTTTTACGATAACATGATAAAAATTTCACTGGTATTACTAAATAAAAAGAACGGCTATTCCAATTATTATCATTCTTGCATGCTTAATGTATAAACTTTAATGTATAAACTTGGCACAATAGTTCTATTTGAAAATTGAATAGAATATGTACGCCATTTGAGATAAAAATTTGTACTTGCATAGGACAAAAGTAGCTAATATAATTTCATTTACATAGAAATTTGTAATATTTGATAAAAAAACTTAATCCTATCTTTTACAAATGATTTGAATTCGATTTATATGATTAATACAACTTTATAACCAGAGTATGTTGAATATGAATAGTTTTTTTTCTGAATTCTAATGATAAAAATCTGATTTAAATTGTATGTCTCAAATTAACAATTGTTCAACTATTTATACCGGAAATAGAAAAGTGAAAATTGGAAATCCTATGAATGTAATATTCTTCACATGACAACTCAAAGTTATTGCTTTTGAGGATACTTATTCGATAAGAAAAGTCATCTTTTTTTTATTCATTTAATTATACTTAATATTCGACTATACTCTGAAAAATTATATAAACTTTGTTAGTCATCTGATATTTATGCAAGCTATATACAAAAATGTCTAATTCATAGATGTATACACAATTTTCAATAATAATTATGCCTTCTCCCTAAAACAAGAATGCAGTAGAAAGTTATTATTTGGATAAAAAATGTACCTATACAACATATATAGCTATTAGATGTTAATAAAATAGGTACACAAATATTAAATAAAATAATTTACATAAGACTGATAAGTAACTTTATAAAAATAATACAATGCATAAACAAGTATATAAATATAGATGAACATAGACAATCATATTTCTTACATGTCCATTTATTAAAACAATTATTTTTCCCTAAAATAACTATTCTACCTGCATTCTTAGATCTTTTTAGTTTTTTTCTTTAGTGGATTAAAACAATAACTTAACAACACGAAGTCTTTGCCGGTTCTGCTTCGACTAGATTAAAATCTAAACCACCAGGTCTGGCAAAGCCAGTTTTGATACCGTCCCAACCATCTTCTACTTTGTATTCGCCTGTTTGTATCCTGTTATAAACTTCTTGTGTAACTGTTCGAAATGCTTCTTCAACATTTACACCAGTTTTTGCACTGGTCTCAATATGGTGTACACCATGCTCATCAGCAAACGCTCTAGCTTCTTCCTTTGATACCTCTCTTCTACCACCATTAGTTACTAAATCTAACTTACAACCTACCAAAGCAAATACAGGACGATGTGGCTCAATATGTCTGCGGGCTTCCATCATCCATTGAGGAATATGCTCAAAACTTGCTCGATTACAAACATCATAAACAAGAAGTGCTCCAACAGAATTTCTGTAGTAAGATTTTGTAATTGACCTATATATAAAAAAGAGATAATAAGAAAGAGATAATTAATAAACTTTATTTTATCTTTGTAAAGTTTCGTGAAGCAAATATAAAATTCTATATTTAAATGAAAAAATTAAAGAAAAGAAAGTTTTATATTTAAAGTAAAGGAATAAAAATAGTAGATAATTATATATAAAATGTTTACGCTAAGGTCTTTTTTGAACATTGCAATATTATTTTATATAAATATATATACATATGTACTTATATGTACTTTATATATACCTAAATCTCTCTTGGCCAGCTGTATCCCATAATTGTAATTTTATTCTTGTTCCATCCTTAACTTCTATTAACCTTGCAAAGAAGTCTACACCAACAGTTGGATCTGAAAGCTAAAATTATACCAGATATTAAATATAAAGAAATGTTCATCTTAAGTACAAGAATATATCACTTCAATAATTGCTACATTAAATATTATATAACTTGTTTAAAAAATTTTTAATCTTAAAACATACAAAATATATGATATGTATATACATATGTATACAATATATAGATACATATGTATACACACACACACACACACACACACACACACACACACACACACACACACACACACACACACACACACACACACACATATATATATATATTCAATAGCAATATCATTCAGGTATCATTTATGATAAATAATAAAAGAAACGATATAAAGATATATATACATATGACTATGTTCTTTGGAAATAAACAGATGTAATAAAAGGATGTAATGAAAAATCAATGTATAAATTGATATCAAATAATAATACACTGATACATTAAATGCCCATTCAATATATAAAAAAATTACGATATATGAGAACATCTGCCTAACCTAATTAAGTTATCGAGTATTGATGCGAGCGACAATCAGGGGAAATCAGTGTAGCATTACAATAAAAATCTTAGACTGCGAGGTTACACGCTTGCGACGTAAAAGCGCTATATCTAATTATAAAACGGGCAAGTAAACAAGCAGAAATAGTGCGCAGCATTCATTCTAATGGCAGCCTACATTTACGATTTACATTCGGCTGTTATGAACGTAATAGTATGGTATATGACGTGCGAATTTATCGCATACCTCTGCGAATTTGCCATCGGTGAAATACTTGAGGAGAGAACTCTTCCCGACAGTACTGTCGCCGATTAGTATCAGTCGAAACTGATAGTCGAAAATAGGCTCTACCATCTTAATGGATAGCGTCGAGTACGTTTGTCACCGTCGCCGTTGCTGTCGTCGTCGTCGTTGTCGTCGTCGTCGTCGTCGTCGTTGATCGGACGCGTGCGACGTATTCCTCAGCAATCCACGTGCATCTCTCGCACTGGTGTGTAGTACTCGTTAAGAGGCGGACACAGTACAGCACAATTGACCGTGACATTAATCATCGAGACCTCCGCACACGGCTATCAGGGGATACAAACTAAAGGATATGCACTATATGATGTACGCCTCATTATTACAATTATAGTCACTTATGCGATTTTCTACCTTATGCTTATACGTATAAAGCTGACAATCGTATAACTCTTGACCCGAGAAATAACAAGGCATACATAAAGCTGATTATACAAATTCTTCTCTCCGACGAAAGAGAAGACGATTTTTAGCGCCGCCTATCTCGAACCCGGAAGTGACTACTTCATTTTAGTTCTGTCACATTCGAATCCAAGGATGGGCATTGTAATATACTTATCCCTAAAAATCTTCTAATAGGAGTTTGAACATAATAAGAGAATATTAGAATGTCACCGAGTTGGATTAAACCAATGAATCGAAAACATTATTTAAAAATACCCGCCGAATGCAATAATTTACCTGAATCCACCCTCAATTTCAGGGTGAAAAAATCATTTACCCGAAGTGCACCCAATAGAGTTTCCGAATGACTTCTCGTTGTCACTTGGATGTTACCCGAAGGTTTCCGAATGGCGCAAGGTGTACCTGAGTGCACCTAGATGAAGTTTCCGAAAACGCAGCCTGCTCGCGCAGGGTTACCTGTTACCTCTCTTACGCGCGCGCACGCAGACGCACGTTTCAGCAAATTGTCATGAACTAAATGCCACGAAAGATTCGTAAGCTCACCGCGCGGAGCGCCGGTGTGCGAATGCGACCTGTCGAGACGGATGAATGGCGTATTTATGTGTTTCAACGCGCAACTTTGCCTATGTTCCGGAATTACCGCGGCCTGCGTTCATACCACGAGCGTTCTAATCTGCTAGGTGATTTGTTTTCGTGTGGCAATCTCGATCAACCGAGCCTCGGTGGAGTCGCGTCGCAGAATTCGCATCATCACTCGGTAGGCGTTGTTGCTGTCATTTGGCTTCCCTCACCCCGCTCTGTTTTCACGAATTTTCATGTCGCTCCTATATTTCTTACGTGCTGCTTCTATCTCAGTGCGTAGATCGCTTGAATTCAAAATCGCGAGAAATATTTGCAAGGTGTCACAAGTACTATGATAGAAAAACAGATGTGTACGAGCTAATATTTGATAGATAGACCCACGAACTTTTATTTTTTCTTCGTGTAGACAAATCACTACACTGGATATAATTTTTAGTAGTTATAACACTATCTTGTTTTATTGTTTAACATATTATACTCTAATGATTATTTTTTTAAAGGTGCTACAATGTTTACTAAGAAGAAAAAGAAACCACAGATTTCCACTCCAACTAATTTCGAGCACAGAGTACATACTGGTTTTGACAAACGTGAAGGAAAATTTGTTGGTTTACCACTACAGTGGGCCTCTATAGTAGGCAATAACCAGATTTTGAAATCAACCAATAGACCATTACCTTTGGTCGATCCAAGTGAGATTACACCTACTGAAATCCTTGATCTAAAGACTATTGTAAGAGGACATGATCCTAGGATAGGTAGGCCACTAGCAAATGAAAAGACTATGGAGAATGGCTTGCCTAAAACCAGTACAGTTGCCCGATCCAATTCTCTGCGTTCTTCAAGCCCACCACGGTTGAGGAGAGATTATAGGTATCGTAAGATTGCTATGTATTTAACTTGTTCTATTGAATGAAATAATTTATGGATACTGTTTGCACAAGATGTATAAGTGTCAAAACCTTTTATAATATTATAGAGATTATTGTTTGAAGAACTTTTAAAATATTAATTTAAATATTGTTTCCATTAAAAAGCACAAAATATGTGTCAACATATTAAATATAAAAGTTTTAATAAAATTCATGAATGTAGTATGTTTCTTCTTTACAGGCATAACAGTAATCTCCCACCGTCTGTTCCTGAAGGCCAAGAAATACCTTTAAATATTAATCAAGGTTTTGCAAACTTTGGCAAGCCACATAACTATGTTGATAAAATGAGACAGAACTCTCCGAGTGTTGGCAGTAGCCTAAATTCCAGCATGCAGAATATGATTCCAAATCTACAGAATCTTAATCCTAACATGCAATCGTCGCCAAATTTAACTCACTCGGGGTCGAATGTACCAAACTTATCCTTAAATTTCCAAAACTTAAGTCCTATTGTAAATTCACAAGTTCCAGTACAAAGTCCAACTACTCCACAGCTTCCTGATTCAGAATTTCATAGACTCAATTCGCAAATGGCCATGCCATCCAGTCAATATAATGGCAATGTACAGGTATTAATATAGTATTATTATTACATTATTATTTCTCTCTCTCTCTCTCTCCAAAAAAAGAAAAAAAGAAAAAGCAATCTGTTTTCTACAATTTAATTCTTGATATTAATAAGTTATTTGAGAATTTTTAAGGCAAATTCAAATACCTATTACTAAATAAAATTGTTTAATCTACAGGGTTCAGTTGTGGATGCTTCAAGAGAACATCAAGTGGGTCAAAATGTATTACTACACAAGCTACAGCCAAAAATTTCACCAGTGGGTTCAATAGCCTCACAACGACCTCTAAGTCAATTAAGCTCACATAATATTAATAAATATTCTCAGGCATATAATATGTCTGAAAATCCATCCAACCTACAATCACATTTGAAAAAGCCAATGGAAACTTCCCAATCGATGCATAATTTATCAAAACCAAGCATACCATCCACTGTATCAGGCACTAGTTCTACTCCAGATCAGAATCAGAATATGAAAAGTGCTGTCTCTTCAGGGAACTTAGCAGTTGGCACAAGCTCCAATAATACAAACAAGCAAACGGCGGAACAGAGACTTACGCATGAACAATTCAGGGCTGCTTTACAAATGGTGGTATGTAAAATGTTTAGCTTATTAAAATATATTAAAATTTCTACAAGTTTTTACCAAAGTTAATTTTTACATATTATTGATTCGTATCTTCTATAATTTTAACATAACTTGTAATTATACGTGCTCATATATACATTGACAATATATATATTGACATTTAGGTAAGCCAAGGTGATCCGAGAGAAAATTTGGAGAATTTCCTAAAAATCGGCGAAGGTAGCACAGGAACTGTATGCATTGCTACTGATAAAAGTACAAATCGTCAAGTTGCAGTTAAGAAAATGGATTTAAGAAAACAACAAAGGCGCGAGTTACTTTTCAACGAAGTTGTTATTATGAGAGACTATCATCATCCAAATATTGTCGAGATGTACGATAGTTTCTTAGTAGACGATGAATTATGGGTTGTTATGGAGTATCTGGAAGGAGGCGCCTTAACTGATATTGTAACACATTCGAGGATGGATGAGAGTCAAATAGCTACAGTGTGCTCTCAATGTCTCAAACCATTGGCATATTTGCATTCGCAAGGTGTTATACATAGGGACATTAAATCTGACTCGATATTACTTACAGCAGATGGCAGAGTAAAACTGTCAGATTTTGGTTTTTGTGCTCAAGTTTCCCAAGAATTACCAAAGCGAAAATCTCTTGTAGGAACTCCATATTGGATGAGTCCTGAAGTCATTTCGAGGTATTTTAAATATTAATTCTTTTTTTATATTTGCTCACTTGTTGCTTCCAACTTAAAGTGAAAGGTTTTTCGACGCATATGATATAGTTGTGCTTAACATCTAATTAACTGTCAAATAAATTCGATCTTATAGTTGGTATATGTGAAAAATTCTCTGCTCCATACATAAATTATGAGTTTTATAACATATTTACGAGTTAACTTTTTTAATATATTTCTATTGTGAGTTTTGTTGATTAACAAATAATTAATATGAACTAAGCTAAGCGTATAAATATAAAGTATAATAATAAGTTGATTTTAAAATGACATTTAAATCAGCTATACTTCATTTTCATGTCTCTAATTATAGGTTGCCATATGGACCTGAGGTAGATATCTGGTCATTAGGAATAATGATCATTGAAATGATCGATGGTGAACCACCATTTTTCAATGAGCCACCTCTGCAAGCTATGAGACGTATCAGGGATATGCCACCACCAAAATTAAAGAATTCTCACAAAGTATAACCACTTATTTTTTCTATTAAACTTAATAAAAGTGTCTTTCTTTTTAGTTCAGCAATTTAATAGCTGCTATATTATAATATGCAACCATGTTGTAATTTGGCAAATAAATGACATTTCATATTTATTCATAGGTTAGTCCACGTCTTCAAGGTTTTCTAGAACGAATGCTCGTACGTGATCCAGCACAACGAGCAACGGCAGCTGAACTATTGCAACATCCATTCCTCAGGCAGGCTCAAAGTCCTAGCATCTTGATTCCATTAATGAGAGGCGCCAGGCATACAAATTGTTAACGAGGTTATAATAACTTCGTAAGTTGAAATATATTAGTCAACTCGAAAACTGATTATAACGATAATCATATTGTTGACGATATCATATTAAACAACTTGTTTACTAACCAGCTTTTGGTAGTTTGTGAGTTAACTAAAAGCTATGCTCACAGACTAAAAACTTTGAAATAAAACTTTGCAATAGACACGATCGATTGAATATTCGAATAATATCAAGTAATTTAATTTTACATACACATATAGTCATTTTTTCGTTATCCAAATTTAATATATTTTTTTAAAACTGTTCGTGTAGAAAACAAAAATTTAAAACAAGGAGGCTTCTTCCATGTCTTTTTATGGAAAAAAATTCTAACTAATATAAAACTTTGCATTTGTAAAAAGTCATTACTATCATCATTAAAAATATATGCAGCACTATACACTGCAATTTATAACGTTATAATGCCATTTGAGGCAAGATCCGTCAGATATTTTAAAACATTCCAGCTATGTAATGACATCATTAAATTCCATGCATAAAAAAAACGCTTTGAAATATTTACAACGTTAAACGGATAACACTCTTGGTGTGATTTTTAAAACTAAAATCCTTCCTTTTTTTTAAATCCTTATGCATATGTGTGTGATTTATACGTTTTTTATTATATATTTTCATGATAATATTTGCATAAAATTTTCATAAAATTCTTATAACACCTTTGAAAAATTTATTATCTGTAATTTTCAGTCTTTACTGTATTATATACTTTATACAGTTCTCTTTTTTCATGTTCCATTGACTTCTGTTCTTTTTTTCTTTCTTTTAAATATATAATTTGCATCATAATATTCAACATATTCTTTGAATCTCTCAGTATTTTTCAGAATACGGATGTTTTTCCTAATATTCATATGAATTATATTATAAATTAATTTCATAATATTTTCAAGATAGCTTTAAAACTTTCAGAAAACGCAGGAAAGTTTAACTTTCTAAACTCTTACAGCGGCTAAATTACTTAATAGTCAAACGTTTATATGATAATATAAACTGTTTATATGAATGAACATGAGCTACTGCAAATAGACGTGTTCTCAAAAATACTTCGAAATATTTTTATTAAATTTGTAATATCAAGCTTTAGCTAAGTCACTCTTTTCGGTCGTGTCTAATATATATATATATTTTGTAATGTATATATCGAATGTTTCATTTTCACCCTAGATTAATATTTCAGAAGAAAATCATCCTAGCGTAATCACTTAGCGAAAAATGTTTAATACAAAAGTTGTATGGTTTGAAGAGAGGCATCGGATGGTGACCTTGGTACAGAAAATGTTCAATTGAATTGTATCAACTACAAAATGCAATGAAAAATAGATGCTGCTATTTGAAAAAATAAAGTTAATCTTGAAATGATTTTGAACAACATCACCTTCAATAAGGCTAGAGTCATCATCTGACTTTCTCCCTCATCTGATCATCTCTTTCTAAATCATACAACCTTTATATTAAACATTTTTCACCAGGATGATTTCCTTCTGAGATATTAGTCTGGGTCGATTAAAATAAAACACTCTGTATATATAAAAACTTATAGTTATGTTCTAGAAAATATTAACTAGGAAAGTCTTTAAATCGTAATAAATTATTATTCAAATTTCACATTCCAGTCCGGCTTGAACGTGCAAGTATTATTTTGAAAATATACTACTACATTCCTGCATTATTTCTATGTCATTTTAATAATTTGATATATTTGTGTTTATGAAAATGACATTTACAATATGTCAAACATATTCTAACTTTATTCCTCAAGTATTGGCAAGTATTGTCTGTTTAACTCGCAGCAGTTACTTTAATGTTATGAGAAATATTTGTTACTTAGGTATTTATGAAATGAATTCACTCGATCAAGTGCCTTCATGATAAGCCTTGTCGCAACGATTATCCTATCATTGTGTAAAGCAATAATGTTATTCGTTTTGTATAAAGCGCTCGTACGCATAAAGCAATATATATTTTTTCCTTTTACATTTATTTGACTAAATTGATAGTGAATTATGATTAAGGTGGTTGGTCCGTAAAATTATTTCTTTAAAAAAATTTTTTTCTTATTTTATATATTCTCTGTGAGTTAAGAGACTTATTTTTAATTTATATTTTTAATTTCTTCTAAATTGAATTTAGGACATTAGTGAAAAACTTATATAATAATGAAGGCTAATAACATACATAATAGATATTTATCATTATTTCGCTTTAATTAACATTTATTACTTACGTAATTAAATGAATGTATAGAAAAATAATTTTTATTTATCCAATGAATAACAGATAGATGAGGGCCTAATTGATACCACCACTGAAAATTCGTCATTTTTCGCAAGGATTCTGTACGGACAAATTACCTTAAAGTAATCTAACATGTTGAGTTTTACTCTTCCATATAATATTGTGTTATTACGTATACAACAATTTGGAATTTTTATATTACTTTACATTTATTTTACCAAAAGATATAAGTACAGATGTTAATAGCCGATCAAGAAACTTTAAAGACTGGAAGATATATTCGACTGTTATTAAAATTTATAATAACTGGGCAAAATTATTACGTGAGACATCCGAAAAGTAATGTAACAATTAATTTTTTTCATTTATAATTTATCATAAAGATGAGAATTTCATATCGTTCGCACATATCATAGTAAACACTCATGCTCGTCTAAGGAAAATGTTTGGATTAAATATATAATTTCAAGATTTTTGAAACTTGTAACGTACAAAATATTATTTTTGTCCAACAAAATTAGTCAGGACATTAAACGGGTTGCATTACTTTTAGGATACGCTTCGAACAATACGTATATTAGGAAAAAGATATTTAATTTTTATGAACTGTTGAACGTAATAAGATATAAATACTGTAATAAAAATTAAATGTTATTGATCTTCCCGCATTACACATATAAATATACATACAATGTTATATGTAAATATTGCAAAAGTGATATCGCTTATCCGTAATAATTCCACACTTGATGTCCAAGCTTATGGGGATATCCTGTATTATTTTATAACACATTCTGCACTGTTGATAAAATTATCCGTAATGAATATTCGTACTGAAAAATATGATATTTTATTACAAGTGCTATGGCCTTTATCAACAATCATACCACTTCATGTTTATTTACATAAATTAATCATGTAAATGGTTTTTCTTAAGTAATAAAAATGAAAAATAATAAAAAATAATAAAATATGTATACAGTAAAAGACACAGTAAGTAAGTTAATGAAAATATTTTTAAAAGTAAAGTAATTTACATTAAATTGCATTAAGTAAAATTTTTATTGCATAGTCTTATGTTGATGAATTAATTATGTACCACCAACTGCTGCGCGTAATTGGACTATTATTTAAACTAATATTATCTGAACAGGGTTACAATACATCATTTAAGATAATCCAAACGAAAATGTGAAATATGTTGTATTGACATCCTCATGGTAGAACGTTTACAGAAATGATATAATTTTAATAAAGAATCTATTATTTTCCCGAAAAACAACATATTAGCATATGTAAAGATTAAAATTATGTGAAATGACATATGTGGATATGAAAAAGTGTGTGATTCTTTGATAGTAATAAATATTGTATATTTAAAATGTATATTTTTTTATCGAATTATATTATTTCTACGATTGAGATTATTATATATTATAATTTAACTAAAAATTTATGAATCTGACCGTTTTTATCACAGTTTAATTTAAGAAGAAAACTTGGAATACAGACTGTAAAACACTTTATATTTGTATATTTGACTATTGTACTACACTTCGAAACACGCATTTATCGAATGTTTTAATATTATTAAATATATACTATTGAGTGATTAATTTACCTAAACTAAAATTATCAGATTTACTGAGAAAAACAAATTAATGACTAATATACAATCACGTGAGAGCAACTGAATAATAGTGAGCAGCTTTTTAAAGATAATAAATGTGTTAAACAATACATTATATAACAGCAGTAATAATTTTTGATAGATTTGTGTCCGACCATACTCGCCATATACTTAGGTAATTACATTATAATATTATAGTCAAGCTAACAGAAAACCACGATGTATGATTTACAATATATGTTGCGGATTATAAAACTATTCTGTATATACGCATGTAGAAATTCAGCGCGCGTAATTTGACTAAGCAGGCGCCAAACTGATCAGTTCAAGTCAGTTGATATGTTAGAATACGATAAAATATCCAAAAAAATTGTTCATTATGTATGTATATGCAGGATTATTTTATGTATGTTGTACATTTATAACATAATAAAATATTATTTACAAAACCAACCAATTGTAATAAGAGTTTTTAATACTTGTGACAATTTCTTAATAAAAAGTTGTGTGCGTGTGTGTATATATATATATAGTTTATGTTAAAAAATTATAATAGTTATAAAACTAAATATAAATATTTACAAATTTTTTTAACAATGAATTTCTTTTCCTAAGTGTATTCGAAATTTTAAAATAAATTCCATCTAATTTGATTTTTGTAAGTTGCAATTTCATAATTTTTAGAATAAATATGTTACTAACGATTTTAGTTTATCTATATTTTAGATGATGTCACGACTTTCCGCCTTCTTTTATACGGCAATTCTGGTAGCGGTGATTTTAACGTAATTGTGGACGCGCGCGTCAAAGTTTTCTCCAACATAAATACATCTCAAGGAACAACGTTAACCGACACTCGAGGTTCCCCCTCAGTGGTCACGTGCAGTGCGCTGTTACCATGCGAGTCAACGCATTCCGGGCTGAAAGGCGTTCTGGAGCGGCCGTCTCTGATTGGTTGAGCACGACGAGCCTCTGACCGGAATGACCTTCGCATTCTGGTCGCTCCATTGGCGCCACTTACGGATCCTTGTTTAAAGTGATTAGTGGTTCCATTTAATAGCATTGCGAGCGTCAAGTTAGAACGACTCTTTGTAGCAATGGTTTCTACATTCCGTCCCTGAATCTACGTAGCATTGACAAATGTAGATACGCAAGAATGTTCTGACTAGAACAAGAAACGGAAAGTCCGAGACATGATTGACTTTTTGACGCGCACGAGAAACTTTGCACGAAAATGACGAAACCATGGAAGGACGGCGTATCCGTTGCTTTCTGCTGATTTAGTACTGATCGGACAAACTATACGCAAGAATCAAATTTTTTACGCAACACGCAAGGTCATCATTTATTTTATTAAACAGTCAAGAGAAACACAATTTTCCGCGTAACGGTACTGCTCCATCCGCGTGAAACTTTCGTTTCATTAAAGCAGGTAGAGTAATTAATTGTAGGTATAGAATAATCAATACGAACGGAGGGGATTGTGAAACTTATTAATTTATAAAAAGATCCACAAACTTTGCGATATCGACGAGGAGTACTTCTCAGTCAAAATGAATTTAAGAAGCTGTCGTGTTATTTAACATCTCATAAAGTTATTCCATATGTTAACCTCAACATGGTTCTCGAACTTTCGGTCGCATAAACAATACATTGATGACTTAAAGACAGCTATTTTTTCGTTCTAAAATTTATGCTAACTAATACAGGCTACTTTGTGTTATTTTTGTGGCGTGTATGGTAATGAACATTGAATGTAAATGTTTCATGTTGTATAAATGCTACTGTTAAAAGAAACAATTTATTCGCGTTAGCGCTATTTCATTTCACGTAGGTATCTTATTATTGCGCGCACTGTTTGCCAAAGGACGTAATTTAATAGCTATTCGTATGTTGAATATAATAAAATATAAGATTCCTTCATAGCGATAAATGATAAGTGTTGCCAATGTAGATTCCCCAATTGTCATTTTATCGTTATCTATCGTTCGACTTTCAGCATTTTCCGCCGTCTGTTTCTAACACGAGTCTCGTCGGTGACGCTATTTTTAATCAATGCCCACGATTTTTTCGTTTCAACGTCGTAACATTAGATTGAGTTGCCACGCCAATGTGCAGCGCGCTAGTAACAGGACGTCGCTCGGCTATCAGAGCTATATAATGCAGCAATATATTGTATTACAAGCGAAGATATGCAGAAAGCAACGGTTACGGGAGATCCGTGAGATGACCGGGCACTTCTCTCTATAAAATGCGGTCCTTTTAACAGGCAAGTGGGCGTGTTTGGTACCTTGCATGCGGTTGGTCAGGTCAGGTAGACGTGATTGCACACGGTTGCTGGGTCGCTGGAAAGTGTACCGACGCGATGCTGGCGAATTGACGTGAGCTTGTGCACGTAGTTCGACGGATTTCATCAGCTTCGCGTTGGGAGCGTCATAAAACGTCTCAGTCGTCACCGCGGCCGAGTGTTTCTCAAAGGAGCATATATTGCGCGTAGATATTTATAAACCCGCGATTAACGAAGGGTTTTCCTGGTATCTCCGGTACGAACGGTATTGAACGATTGCCAATCATACTTACACTCATGTCTCATCATATACTTATTTAATATCTCTTTGATTGCACGATAACGAGGAAAATATCGCAAAAGAGATATCGACTATTGGCTCTCGGGAATGTTATTTGTTGAAGCTTTTTTCTTTCTCTCAAGGTTTACTCTGCCACCTCGCTTTCAGGAAGTCACCAGTCATGGTTATCGTCGATTTTTGCCGAACGTCATCCGTTCCTGTAGCGTGTTCTCATGTAAATAAAAATTTGTAATGATAGTAATAGCCTCTGACGCAACAATACCAGGTTATTAGCGGACTACGAGCGCTACGCGATAGCCAATGGGAATGTCGCTTCCGCGGAGGCTCGACCGGCTCGCCTCGTCACCGTATCGTCGTCGTGGGAGACCCGGGACCAGTCAGCTTTCAAGGAGAACCAATGGGAAAGTTGGCGCCCGTCTGCCGCTAGTTGATAAAATTAGTCATTTATCTCGTCCTGATCATACATTACGATCATATGTTACGTTACTGGAGATAACAAAATTATACGCTACGTCATAGTTCGTAGTGGGTTCGCCATCGCGAAAACGAATTTATCTGTCAAGCCAATAAAATAACATGGATTTCTATCGCAAACCAAACCTATTTCGAGCGCTATCGTTATTTACGTAGTGGCTTTAGGCAGTTCGGTTCGCTTCGCGTGTGGCCCAAAGTAAAAAGTACAAAGTAAAAAATATAAAAGTGCTTCACACTCCTACAGGTCGGCTCACTACGGCGCGTCGACGATACAAACGAACGTAGACAAAGGATCTTTCTCCTACGTGCCAAAAATTTCGAAGGAAGTTTGCATCATCCCGTTTAGCGCCTTTCATTGGAGCCTCGCCCATATTTCTCGTTCTTTTCAGCATTCATTACCGCGTTTCTTCTGACAGTAATGAAATTTAACTCTTCGTATGTACACAATAGAAATTTCGAATTTTTATTGTGGAAATAATAGAAATTAAATTTTCACTATGCATATAATAGAAATATCCCATTTTCATTATAGGCATGATAGAAATTCAATTCTGATTCCATGATGAGCATGGATATATCGAATTTTCATTAAGGACATAATGAAAATGAAATATTCATTATGTACACTGTGTGTGTGTCCGTGATAGAAAAGATAAGGACCTCGTGATTTGTTACTTCCACAGTCAATAATTACTGTGGAAGTGACGAACCACGGGGTCCTTATCTCTTTTGTCACGGACACGCACACACATACGTGCACACTTGGCCCGAAGGCCAAAGACAACGACAACAATTTTTGAGGGGCTGTAACTTTGCGAAAATATTGCAGCGACTCCATATTTTTTTTTTTTTAATTGAAGGGGAAGATTTGAATTTTATGACGATGCAAACGGCGTCCCCGAAAAAAAATTGTC